TTCAACCCTAAAGGGAATTACTATTAGAACAATGAAGGATATGTGCGACCTAAGGGCATGCTAAGCACAGGAAAATAGCGGACAAGGTATGCACAAGGCATAGGAATATATCCAAGGTTATCCAAAGCATGGGAACATGGCTAAAGATGCAGAAAGTACATGAAATATAGACAAGGTACATGGAAATCAAGGAATGAGGTTTGGAGTAAGTGAGGGCAAAGGTATAATGTGAGGTAAGGAGAATCTAGGTATAGGAACCTAATAAGGGCTAAAAAGCATATACTACAAGGGACTACTTCTAAGGTAAACCTATGAAGTATACAGTAGAAGAGAAATAAGTAGTAGTATCCCTTAGAAATAGTTAACTCATACTATCTAAACTCTCACTTGGAGAAGGAAGGGATGAGAAAGATAGTGAATATATAAAGATATGTGATAAGGCTGCAACATATTTTACTAGCCTCAATGTAAATAAATGTACATATTATATACTATAACTTGCTAATACAATATTACCAGTCCTTGAATGGACTTGTATTTATTATGTGCTGTGCTTATGAATATTGTGTGCTCTGGCTATTCCTGGTCTTGGTGTTTTATACATTACTCATTATCTGTCATATTGGTAAGATTTCATCTCTTGTGCTCGCACTATGACCATACTCCTATAACCCCAATACTCTCCCTTGAGCACAACCTATGCTCATTCCTTCTTTCAGCTTCTCTAATCAGGGCTTCAGCAATGCCTTGGTGAAGGCATCTGCAAGATTCTGGTTTGAAGGTATGTACTGCAAGTCTATGGTTCCATTTTTGATTACTGATCTAATGAAACAATAGTGGATGTTAATGTGTTTTGTCTGTGCATGGAACTTGTTGTTGGATGCGAGCACAATGGCACCTTAGTTGTCACAATGGGTAATAATAGGTGTATCCTTCCTTTCATATAGTTCTTTCATCAATGACTAAAGATATAATACCTCTCTTGTTATAGTGCAAGTGGTGTTTTCTGTGTTTAGGGAGGGAGCTGAGGATAGTGATAACCAAGAGCTCAAAAGCAATGTACTCCACCTACCCAATGATACACTGCCCATTATGATTTTGTCAGTTATGATGTAGCATTCAGGTTTGTCAATGTTCATGGATGACAATTTCGATGCTAAAGGATGTGCTGGCATAGGACGCAGACATAGAGGGATGAGCAAGTGTTTTGAGTGGTTCTTCTTCTTTTTATCATTTTTAGCCACTTCTTTGTCAAGGCGAAGACACTCTTTCCTCCTCAGCTAAGTATTATTGTTTAAAGCCCAGATGATCATTTTCTGTGACTTGAAGTTGTCATTGTACATGAAGGGTGTCATTGGTGGTCATCCAGACACTACTTAACAGTTCAAAAGCTTGAGCTTTGATAGTAGTATATTATTTTTGTATTAGGGACACAAGTTGTAAGGCTGAGATGTGTAGTTTTGTATTGGTGAAATGTATGAGATGATGGCAAGAAGAAAGAAGGTGTGAAGTCAGGTTTTGCTTATGTCAGCCATAGACCTCATTCATATCACCTTATGCTTTGTACTTATATAGAACACAAATATTAATAACTAGATTTAAACTCATATCCCTTATAACCAGCTCCTTCTCCCCTACCTATCTATATTGGACCCTCATCTCATTCAGCTGGTCATCACCAGTCTTGGTTGAATCTTTGCTAAATGAGGTACTGGCTTTTATATGTAAGTCAAAGGTAATCTTTGATTCCTTATAGTTGTCTGAGTTAACAATTTCACTTGCTGTCATTGCTTTCCAAGACACTGACTTTATAAAGGCTCACCTCTTTAGGCTTTGTGCCTGAAGATTTGACAGTCTCAATTACAGTTACCCCAAGTGTACCTAATATTAAGAAAATATGTGTCAACATCATATCACTGTATAAACAGATCATATTGATAGAATATATAGGGGGACACCCTAGGCATTATATCCCCTAAAGAAGTACTGCTGTCATTCTCTGTACTCAGTTGTAGGTTGTCAAGCTAATAAGAAAAAAATGCTCAGTCAAAGGCCCAGTAAAACCCTGATGAAATCAATACATTCCTCAGAAATGTCCTTTAAGAATGCAACCTTTAATTAGGCATCAGCACGGGTAAACCCGCGGGTACCCAGCATGTAACCCGCACCCGTACCTGGTGAATACCCGTACCCGTATACCCAAGGGTACCAACGGGTATGGGTGTCACAGCGGGTGCAGCGGGTAGCCACGGGTATGACACAGGTACGACACCCACTGTGGGTATGAAACGGGTGCAAGCTTCAAAATGGTTCAAAAACAATGTAGATACATGGATTATGCTAATACAATATCATCCCATCCTTCACTGAGCTCATCCTCCTCACCTTGAAGGTCAGGCAGCCGGGTAACAGACATTACATCCTTGTCCTTTACTAACCCAAGTAAACTCCATGAGCCCAGGCAAAGAAGCGCGCAAGTTGTTTGTGCGGAAAGGTGAGAACGGACATGTGAAAGCAGCAAACGGCCGCGAGAGAATGTCCGTTCAACATCAACCGATGTTGCTGAAAAATATATCAGTAGACTCGGAGTGAGATCCAACGTGCAGCAAAAGACATACCAGGGATTGACAAGTAGTCAAGGGCCATTCGAGAGAGATGCGGGTATGTCGACTGTTGGTGTTTCCACCATCCGAGAACGTCGTCCACTGTCTCGATGCTCTCATTGAGGTAGGCATCGAGTTCACTGACCACAGATGGACATGCGGGCTTCGTGAGAGTTGGTAAGTTGTCAAAGATGTTGGCGTCGTCATCCTAGAATAGTTTAAATATAAAGAATGTGATTAGAATAAAAAATTGGTGCACACCTGAATTGTGTTTACAACTGCCTCAACTTCGTCACTGGCAGGGACACTGCGTGAAGCATAGGAATGCTCATACACTTTTTGCACGATGTTGCGTGCGGCAGTGATCCATTTGTCCTCCCAATCTGCGGCCTTAAAATACTCGAGCTTGTAACATGGGTGAAGAACTAATACAAACGCAGATGTTAGCGCAAAAAAAAAAAGACTATAACACATACCCATTGCAATACGGTAGGTCTCTGACCTATCTGTGAGAGAGTAGTACCTGTTTAAAGTCTTCTTTGCGAGGCTGAGGGCTGCGCATATAGCGGGATCAAGTATGTATGTGAGTGTTGATGATGCCAGTAGTGAAGACATTGTCAATATGATCCATGGCGGGAATGACCACAGCGAGATTGGGCATCCCGCGTGAAAAGAATTGTGTAGCGTGCTTCAAAATCTGCAAACTTAAAGTGTGAGCGATAGGACATTGTGTCACGTCACACGTGTGACATACCCTCAAGACCTCACACAACTGTTTTGCGAGCGCCCATTCCTCGTCACTCAACACAAACATCCCCAGTCCTAGTCTTCGTCTATCCGTAATCGTGTCGATAGCCTTTCGATATTCAACCGCAAAATTCAACATATCGAACATTGAATTCCAGCGGGTTGAGACGTCCCGGGGCATAATCCTGACAGTAAGATTGAGTTCAGTGAGTACTTCTTTCCATTCCGGCAGCAGGAGTGTGGTTGAGTGAATAATTTTGTAGGCCAGTTTACGAAGCTTTTTGCAGTCAGTAAACCAACAGGTGTGTAGAGTCCCTTTCTGCTCACCTTGACTAGGACCCACTTGATAGGCCGGATGTTTTCCTGCAGTGCATCATGATCAAAATCATCCAGCTCATTTACTTCGTCAATCCAACCCTCTGTATCGTCGGCGTCATCAGCGCTTGGATCCCCATCACCATTTGCCGCTATAGTAGCTTCATCCTCAATGTCAATGTCACCCGCGATATCTTGGAGGTCCTGTTCTGCGCTGTCAAGTGACTCGGCAGTTTTGTGTTTCGGTACATCGAACTCTCTTATCAAACTTTTGGCCACGAGATTGATGATATGCAAGAAGCAACACGTGTGTGCTGCTTCTCCGCCAAAGTGATCAATGAGCTTCGCGAGTTCTGTCATCATCGTGTCATTACTTGACGCATTATCAGCAGTCACACTCAGCATCTGACAAAAATAAGTAAGTCATTTTGTTGTTGATCTTAAACCTTGCCTTATCTGAAATCCCAAAGTCATTTAGTATCTTCGCGAATGCTTCCGCAAGATTTATGCCTGACTGTGACTAGCAGTATCATTAGTCCTTGCTCATGTTGATTTGCAGCAATACATACTTTTGCGACCTCGACAATGTCAAGAAGCATCGCAAGGGGCTGACCTTCATGTTCCAAGTGCACCGAGACGGCGACAAATGCTTTATGGTTCGGCGATGTCCACGCATCAGTGGCAAAGTTAAGGTCGCCGTCGTAATCTTGCAACATCCGTGCGATTCGTTTCCTCACGTTCGCAAAAACGAGCTTAACATCACGCGACACTGTGGATGGTGAGGGTATATAATACTCTGGCCATCCTGTCTTCATTAAGGACCGAAAACCTCGATCGTTAACGACTTCGAATGGGCGAAGACTCTCTGACACCCATCTCACAATCTCAGCCCTACAAACATAGTGAGTCACACATATGATGCACATTTCGTGGGCTCACTTGGTCTCAGATTTAGTATGTTGCCTATGTGAGTATGTTATTTTGCCCTTGCCCTTTCGTTCGAACGAGGACATGATCGAGCCTGTGGTGAGTATACTACCCACTATGGATTCACGTGCTGATTCAGCTGTCTTAGCCTCCTGTGCAGCTTCATACGCAGTCTCGCCCCAACACCTCTTAACATGCTTAGCCATGTTACTGGTTGATTTGGCATCTCCCTTGTCAAGGTAACGTTGAACACGCTGATTACAGCTCTTTCCCAGGCACTTGAATACGTGCGAGCGTCTCCCATTGGTGTACTCGATACTGGGTGTTGGCTCGAAGAATGCGTATACAGGTGAAGTCCATCCTTTTCGTAGCCATTCTGTTGAGGCTGATTAACATAATTATATTATACTAGGTAGGTGACTTGCCGAGCTCATTATCTGATGCCTCCGCATCTGATTCAGGTGCCTTGATACTCATATCAGATGATGTATCACTGGACTCGACAACAATAGCATTGGCGAGAGAGGCATTGTCCTCTTCTTCGGTTTGGACTGTGGCTCGTTGACTTGACACACGAGGAACAGGGGCTTGTATGGTTGAGTCTTCAGATGTCGAAGGATCGGTTCGTGAGGTCGTAGCTGCCTTCTTTGATGTCAAGGGTACATTTTTCGCTTTCTTGGCTTGCAAAGTCTCTTGGCTGCCGGTACTGACCTTCTGCTTTAGCTTTTGACCACCCTCTGCAATAGCTTGTGCTGCCTTTTCAGTCAGCTTACTAACACGCTTGCAGAACATGGATGGAGTTATGGTGGGGTTCGCGAAGCCTGTGAGAGTCCAGAGGCACAGGCTTGGGTGTATTACTGTGTGTAGTGATGAAAATAAAGTTATGTTAATGCTGTACAGTTTCAATATATGCCATGTGCGAGGCTACCATTTTGGGTGTGACGGGTATGGTACCTGACTGGACGGGTAACGGGTACCTAGTGTGCCAACCCATACCCGTACCCACGAGGTATCCATACCCGTGACCCACACGGGTTACCCATACCCGTGCCAATGCCTACCTTTAATGAAGCTATGCAACAGATTACAAGCAAGCAGACATATGAGCTTCCAAACATAGAGCCCTGATATAAAAATAAATGGATGTTAGTATGTTATCTTACATTGATCACCACTATCAGTATACTTGCTAATATCTACATAGTTAAAGCTAACATATAACACTATCCTGGTATATTACAATAAATTAGGTTATTATTGGGATAATTGAGCATGAGGTCAATATAGAGAGCCCTGCTACTGTCTAGGAGGACCATATTAGCAAGAAGGTGTGTAATAATATCACTCAATTTTATTGAACACAATCCTTATTATCTATTTATAGTTCAAGACTACCAGTTGGCCCTACTATACCAAGATAGAACAAATCCTTCCTTTCTACAGCTCTGCACAAGGCATCGCTGTCTATTATCCTGCTCCTTCAGCTTCACCTGAGACCAAAAAATTGGTAGCTAGCACTAGTAGTGTATCTTGCAACAAAGAAGCTAGGTACAAAAAACTAAATCCATGGTCTCTACAAACTCACACTCATCATAAAGATCATCTTTGTTTTTATCATCCTTATTAAAATCAATATTTAGAATGTGTGAAATATCTTCTAACTCCTTATCATATATGAAAGCTATATAGTTAGTTGTCTTATATTTGTGTTGCAATGCAATACAATATGCATTTGTAGCTTGAGCACATGGTTCATACTTATCTGCTGCAGTATATTTGTGATGACCTGGGTTGTTATTTATGACATGTATTAGTGGAAGCAGGTCCTCAGATGAATCATAGATTAGAATGAAGTTTATGTAGAATATAGAGGGCAGCTGGAATGTGAGCTTGTATATCTATCTTGTACTCTGGAGATATGAGAAGAATTTAAAAGTGTCATTTTAAGACACCAAAGATTTATTTAATGACATTTCATGTTAAGGCATGTCAAAGGTTAAAGAGTTCTTTGTTGTGGACTGCTTTGAAACATATGTATTACTTTGATTTGAATAAAAAAAATGAGTGAAAAATATTTGATATCAGCATGTCCACATTCAAGTGATATTGGACACCATAGTAAGAAACAAAAAGTTCATCAAAGCAAGGAAACTCTGAGTCCACTAACATTGTAGGCATTTCCTCATTTTCCTCCACCAAACATCCAAAAAACATTGAATTAGAAGATAAAAATTTCCTTGCGTTGTGTGTATCAAAACATTGAAAAAAAAATAATGAATGTATTGAAGATTTTCTGTATGCAAGACATAATCTAAAAATGAGTCATTTTCCCTCTGTTAAGACCATGCACAAAGGGTAGGACTGATTCTGAGGGGCTTGGCTTCAGCTCGTGTGCTGCACCTCTTACCCGAGTATGTGCCCTAAGGACTTTCTGGACGGGTGCAAGTAACTTCCGGATGAGTGCAGGAAAGTTTTGGAGGAACTTCTGGAAATTACGATGAGGTTTCGTCCTGATACGGATATGTATAATGGCTACTCAGGACTTGTCTTAAGTAGAAGTAAACAGAGGAAAGGCTGCAAGGACAAAGTCCGAAGCAGAATAGGTCCGGAGGACCGCGGGAAAGATCCAGATGAACTCCCGGAAACTACAGAGGATCAGATGAGCGGATGAGCAGAGTATCGGATAAGCAGGGCTCCGGCCTAGGGAGAAACTCCCTAGGCCTGAGATGGATAACAACTAAGTTGGAAGACTAGAACTGATATGAGGATTTAGAGTGAGATCTAGTGCAAGGACCAATATGATATTCAGACTGAGGAACTACAGGACATATACAAGAGTTTATATACTAAATGACTATCGGATAGATCAATAAGCAAAGGTCCAAAGCTATGTATGTACGAAGCATAAGCAAAGTTGTCAAATGCAAGTCGGAAATAAAGCATAGGTTAATGGATCAGTAAGCATACTGGTAGTAAGTATAACCAAGATACCGGAAACAAGGAAATACCGGATAGGCTGTGTTAACGTTATATGCACAGGAAATGAATTAAGTAGCTTATTGTATATTGGATCGGATGGGACTGGATTGGATATGGTCCAGATGAGATGCGTGGATGTATGGGATATGACATTAGGGCGATAGGACAAAGGATGAATGAAGCAGGCTAGCTGTGGAGGTATGGAGGTCTGATGTACGGAGGTAAAGGGATCTGGATCTGGATGTGTGGATGTGGATGTGCAGAGGTGCAGGGATCCGGATGGGTAGAGGACTGGAGACATGGATAAGGCGTCCAAAGGTCCGGATGAGGCGTGGGAATATTATCAGACGTAGGTCCGGAATACGGGATATGACACCCTCAAGAAACAGTCTATATTTTTCATTCATCATTTCTCAAATAACAATTTACAATCATGTTGATTTTTTTGCCTCTGTTTTTCCAATGTTCTGTGTATCAAAAATCTCAATTACTTCATCCTGTTCACCATATGTTTGATCCAAGAACATTGAAAAATCATATAACAAATAATAATAAATATTTTGACAATGTTTTGTTAAGGAAAAGCAAAGAAACTTTCAAACTTTCATTTGTATATTTGATAAGAGGAAATTTATGAAACATGCCCCATGTTTTGTAAGAATAAATACATAATGTTTGCAGCATATTCCTCCTGCACAACACTTGAAAAACATTTATTATGTTCAGAGAAAAAAAAATGAAACATGATTGCAGGATACTCTGCCTCAGAACATGCACAAATTATACATTTTTTTCTGCACACAACAGGTGGAAAATACAGCATTATCCTTGAAGGAACATGATGAATTTTGGCATCATGTCCCACACACAGAAAATCATTGAAACATAAATTATTATTTTTTCAATGTTTTGACAGACAAAATGAAGGTACACTGGTCCAAGTAGTGCTGCTAAGAACCAAGAACTATTCGGCGGGGAAATGAGAACAAAATGGTGTGACAATATAGAAGGGTTTTTGAGAAGATTTTTAGTAATGGTGAAGCGATGAGTATAGAGGCAAGGTTGAGAGTGGGGGCGCAAGTGCCAAACCTGGCTCCAGCTCTACCAGAGTCGACAAACCCTGGATTGAACCTTTGCAAACTGTTCAGAGTGATCATGTTTGGTTTTTTTGGGGTTCAAATGTGAACCATCCATGTCACAAGCCAACAACTGGACTGCTTGGTGCAGCACTGAGGCAGTCATGTACTAAATACACCAACTGCAGTTTCACAGGCAGAAAGAAATGCAAATTAATGCCAAGTGATGTCAAGGAGCAAAAGCAGCTGGTTGTGCATAAGAAAGGCTGACTTAAAGGATTCATCAATTTTCTGTGTCCCATGGGCCATGACATGTGTAAGGATTGTCTATCCTCTACGCACGGCCTGCACCTCAAAAAGGAAATCTGAGAACTGTCATTCACAAAGTCCACGTGACTCACGGATGCAAGAAAGCTCTACACTTCGCATCCGAGTTATGTGGATACATTCTCTCACTTCTCCATTCTCTCTTTTTCCGTTATCTTACCTTGTGCTCAAACTTCACAATACCCTTGTTTCACAAAAGTATTTTCACCTCGCCATATGCTCCCCATTCTTATTTCAGGTAAAGTACTCGAAAATGTATTTATACTGCTCATGTACACTCATAACAACAGCAGAATCATATGTTGGTTCCCTGCTCAAAGCAAACTTTGCTCTACAGAAAGTCTTAGCCTCTCGAAATGTTTCGTCTTCACACTTGCGCCCCCACTCTCAACCTTGCCTCTATACTCATCGCTTCACCATTACTAAAAATCTTCTCAAAAAACCCTTCTATATTGTCACACCATTTTGTTCTCATTTCCCCGCCGAATAGTTCTTGGTTCTTAGCAGCACTACTTGGACCAGTGTACCTTCATTTTGTCTGTCAAAACATTGAAAAAATAATAATTTATGTTTCAATGATTTTCTGTGTGTGGGACATGATGCCAAAATTCATCATGTTCCTTCAAGGATAATGCTGTATTTTCCACCTGTTGTGTGCAGAAAACAATGGATAATTTGTGCATGTTCTGAGGCAGAGCATTGAAGTAGGTAGTGGAGATTTGATGTTTTTGCAACATATAAAATGTATTAAGATCTCTGATGTAAAATAATAACAGTGTGTACTCCTATAAGATATGCTACTATTAAATCACTGCATCCTTCAATCAAACACTCACAGCTTAATTCACAATATTCTCACATGACCTTCTGTCGACCTAAGGGCTCTCCTCTGTTCTATGCCTCTATCAACTCTAACAACACCACGTTTCTGGATGGCACCACCTCTCCTATGACTGAGTTCACTTCCTCAGCCTCTACATGTCCTATGGACATTGCCCTCTGGCATAGATGACTCACTCATCACCACATAGCTGGTGTCAGGATGCTTATCAACTGCAATCTGGTCACTGGACTTAGGTTGGACTCAAGGGCATTGCCAGACCCCATCTGCGAGCCTTGCCTTGCTAGTAAGATGCATGCCAACCCCTTCCCTCCTAGCGAGTGGAGGGCGAGCCGTCCTTTGGAGCTTGTTCACACTGATGAGTTCACCAGCTCCCCTACCACACTTTCAGTGATTATCACTATTGGGTCACATTCATTGATGACTACTCGTGTTACCGCTTTGTCCTGCCTATCAAGGCTAAGTCAGATGTCTTTGAGGCGTTCAAGACATTCAAGGCTTATGCTGAGAACTAGTCTAAGCGAAAATTCAAGACTCTGAGGGACAACAAAGGTGCGAGTACATGTCCAATACTTTCATTGACTTTACTACCCAGTGTGGCATAGTGTGGCAGCACACAGTCAGGGCTCATCCTCAGCAGAATGGTGTTGCTGAGTGGGCCAACAGGCTTCTAGCTGAGCGCATCACCACCATGTTGGACGAGTCTGGCCTTGCAAAGGCCTTCTGGGGTGAGTGTCTTGCAGCTTTGGTTCATGTATGGAACAGGTGCCCCACTGCTGCAGTGGATAATGCCATGCCCTACAAACTGTGGCATAGGTGAAAACCTAATGTTCCCACCTGAGAGTGTGGGGGTGCACTGCCTATGTGCATGGCATGTGCAGAAGGACAAGCGCTCTGCATTCGAGTCCTATATGGAAAAGTACATATTCATTGGTTATCCAGATGGCTACAAGGGCTGGAAGTTGTATAACCCCACCTCCAAGCACACTGTTATTTCAGAACGTGCTGACTTCAATGAGAGGCATTTGCTTCTCTCCAAAAGGCCTACTAGTGCGCTTCAGCCCTACCCTTCCTTGCCCACATCGAGTCTAGGGTGATTCCAGACTCTGATGTTGATGATGATGCTGACTCTAATGAGATGCTGACTCATGGGGGGGGGTGGTGCATATGGGCTTTGAGGTGTATTACTCTGTGGCCACCTCAGCTGAGCCAATGTCATTTGTAGAGGCCCTGTGTTGTCCTGATACAGAGCAATGGCGCCAAGCTGCACTTGAGAAGTTGGCTGCTCATCAGAGCCATGGGACTTGGAGATTAGTCGAAAGGCCAAAAAACTATAAGGTCATTGGGCTCCAGGTGGGTGTTCAAAGTCAAGCGCAATGCTGATGGCTCCATAGAGCGCCACAAGGGATGCCTTGTGGCCAAGGGCTACCCTCAAGATATTTGCTCCCACCATATGTATGGCCACCGTTCAAATTGTCTTCACTATAGCTGCCATTCATGACCTCCACCTTCACTCTGTCAACGTCTCTCATGCTCATCTCAATGGAGAGATGGACTGCGAGGTTACATGGAGCAATCCGAAGGCTTTGCTGAGGACAATCCTAAGAGACGTGTGTGTCTTCTAGACAAGTCCATCTATGGCACCAAGCAATGGGGCAATCGCTGGAACAAGAAGATGAGAGCTGTGCTCAAATCTCTTGGATTCAGGCAGATGTACTCCGATGCAACAATATATGTCTATTCTCAAGGTGAAGACTGCATCATTCTGCCTGTCTTTGTGGATGACATGACCTTTGCATCCAAATCCCTAACTGCCATCGACCAAATCATCTCTCAGCTCTCCCAGCACTTTAAACTTCGCGACCTTGGTCCTACCACTCAACTTCTTGGTATCAAGATAGACAGAGACCGTCCCAGTCGCACCATATCACTCTCTCAGCATCAGTACTCCCTAGACATCCTTGAACACTTTGGCATGGCTGATTGCAAGCCTGTCACCACTCCTATGGAGCCCAATCTTTGTCTTTCTCGCTCTCAATCACCTCAAACCGCTGAGGTGTCATTCATGTGTGGTGTGCCCTATCTTGCTGCTGTTGGCGCTCTGTGTTAAGATGAGATTGAAGTGGGCTGCTTCTAGAGGCTACTGAGAGACCAGAAGAGATCAGACTAGAGTCCAGAGTAAGTTGCCAATCTATTGAATGGTGTAGTGAAGTTGTACAGTACCTAGAGTCCAGAGTAAGTTGCCAAAGAGGCAAGGAGCACTGGACTCTGGGATATGGGCGATGTATGGTAAACAAATGTAAACAGACAAGCCACAATCAAAAGGTAAGTAATAACTCAACCTATGGATGTCCTAGGGAGATCAAGAAGTCATGTAAATAGTAAGTAAGGCACATAGAAGACATAGAAATGCATACTGTAGAGGCGAATAATCATATAACTAACAGTTTATGATGCATGCAAACAAACCTTCTCAACATTATCCTGAAGATCATCAAAATTCCCCATCAAAGACGGTCACAGAAGGGATCAGTTCGGGTTTAGGCGCCCTTGAGAATGATATGACCATAAATGACCTCATCATCACAAAAATGGCTACCAATTGTTGTGAAGTGAAGGTTGAGCTAGTGAGATTGGTAAGCTGACTCTCATAAGTTTTCTATAGCACACAATGCCCATCAACACCATTACAGCAGGAATACAGCCACAAGGTAGAATACCAGCTTGAGATTCAGACCAAACTTGGTGCTTATCTCTCCCAACAGAACCAGCAGTAGTTGCTTCATCAGAATACAAAACTATGCGAAGAAATCACTCAAGTTAAATTGACAAGCAAGCAATTAACAAGACTAACAAGGAGGTTTCTGAATATCTCGTGTATCTGTTTCCCATTCACTGATCTCATGCAGCTATGTTGAACTCAGAGATTCTTGTAAGGAACTATGGATGCAATTTCAACCATCATCTACCTTGGTAAACAATGCCTGAAAAACTATGGAAAGCCTTCAGGAACTTCGGGATGACCCTTGTACTGGCCTCCAAGGTCAGTCTACTCTCCTAACTGTTATCTTTGCTCTCACCAGGTTGTAACTTCAAACAATTGAAGTATTTCTTGACAGTACCAGGCATCTGTCCAACGTGGGCAAGATGAGGACAGTTGTAACCGAGCTACAATCTGAACTTACTCAGAGTGAGTCACATCCTCATATGGGAAAGCAGCACCACATGTTATGTGTGCAGCCCAACAGGTGCATGATCTTCTGCATGAAAAATTGCAAAATATGGGTTCTGAGCTTATAGATACCCGGACGCGCCTCACGGAACTGGAAGGGTGTTCTGGAAACAATAGAAAGTTGATTGCCTCGACAACAACTCCTTGACGAACTCCAAACTGCATGCACACAACTAGCAGATGCAAAGGGAGAAGAGGATAGCTACATGAAAGGTACAAGCACTCTTCTCACAATGAGATTTTGATCATGACAGTTGGATTCGCAGAAATGCTAACATTGTTGAAAGTCAGCCTCGCACCATCCAGTCTTTGATATTTACCTTCGCACAGGCTCTTCAGCAATGTTTCAATGACCAGCTTGTTACTCTCAGGCTCACCAAGGAAAGTGTCAGCAAAGTTCAGGTAATCCCACACCTTCTTCGCCTTGAGCTGAGCTCACCCATCTACAGGATCGTCTGCAATCCACGAATGGTGCAATTTTGGTAGTGTGTACTCTAATGCCATGTCTGCCAGCAAATTCATTCATGACATAGGCTTTGAATGCAACCCTGGCAGAATATAACAACCGTGCCAGTGCTGCGGAGGAGTGCAAATGCTTGCTGCAGCACATACTCGACGAAGCCAACATTGCCACAAACAGCCTTCACAAGGAACTTTCAGATTAGCATATAGGCAGTGTCTCCCATGGAAGTGTCCCAGTGTGGACTGTTTGTCTAATGGTGAAGATGTGTATTGGAAGACCAAGATACAACATCGTGACGATACCACATCTGGCCATTTCACTAATAAGCATAAGGGAGTTGAGTTGATAACAAAAAAGATAACATGATGATGCTTACATGAAGAAGTAGATCGTGTTGTACTTGACCAGTGTTGCCATTGTGTTGTGAAGTCTCTTCCCAGCAATGGTATGGATGTTTTTCATGTGCTTAAACACAACGAATATGGCAAGGACGAAAAGTAGAAGCTCAAAACAAAATATATCCATCAGTACTTTTCTGTGGATATGGATGAAATGGTCTACTTTGTGTGGCCCATAATAGTATAAAAGACCCATAGGATTAGAAGTGAAATAGAATATGGGTGACCTGCATATAATATCAACTTTGAAGTGAGTGTCTGCAGAAGACCATTCTGGCTGTATGATTGCGTTTTCTAGAAGGATTGTGTGCATCACGCCACATGTCCGCAACCTGCCTGTGCTCTTCACAGGATCACATCGGCCATTTATTCGATGGCATTTCTTCAATGTGATCCTTCATTAGGAGGCAGTATGGACAAAAGATTGTGCTCATAGGTCCTGAAAAGCTGCCGACTTGTCGAGCACCTATGATATTGCAAACCAATGGAATCACCACCGATCGACAAGAACAGCCAGAAGGGTACAGAGAGGTGCGCATGTAGAAGAAGCCTGGATCCCATGCTAGCAAGAGATCACTGACAAGGGGCATGAGTCCTTCATTGATCTGTTCAAGAGAACACTTGTTTGGACCAGGTATTACACCAACCAAGTGTCAAGTGCAAAAGTGCAAAATCGTTCAGCAAGGCAAATGTGAATGTGGTCCTAGGCCAGGTGAAAGAGGCTGGGAACAAACCCATTTGAAACAACTGTTTCTCTGCATCGGGAGCATCGGTGCATTGGCAGAAACAGATTATGAGATAATGTATGCCCGTGATGTCAACTACCGTTACCCGTGCGATGCACCCGACGACGGGTATTCCCTTGTGTCCTGACATACCATTGGTGGAAGAGGCGTCCTCATCATTAGTAAATTCCTCGACTACTGGCATATCCACCGAATCATTGTCAAAGACATCCTTTTTCTCCCAATGGATCTCTTCAGGCCCTCCCACGTTCATCGGGCATGGGAGTCCCCTGTGGCTGAGATAGTACTCCATGCCCAATCTCGTCAATGAGCTCTCCTCGAAGAAGTCTCCATTCCATCAACTAATCTTATGAAATGGCAGTCAGACATGCTGTGTTCAGCAGCACTCACTGCAGAAGATTGGCTTGGAAAAACAGTCATGACACCTATAAGCTCTGTCTCGGTCGCACAACAAACACACCCTGTCTGAATGAGGAGCCTCCCTTGCCATGAACATATCCAGATGATCCTCAGTCCTTTGTTTCCACTCCCTGAGGTAGTTGTTTGGACCCTGGGATGATGGCATCAGCCTGAAACCAGTTGATGGGGATGGAGATGTGGGAACAGACTTGCCTTTGTTTTCTTCCTCTGCCTCTTCATATTTGAGAATGGAATGGGCCCTTGCCCCTCGTGCTCAAAATTGACATTGTAGTCTGGGAACAATTGATGATGCATCATGTCTGAACCTTGCTTGGTTGGAGATTTTGTTGGCAAGGACGAAACAGACTTGCTTGGTTGAGTCTGTTTAACCGGTACCCACCTGGGTTTGAGACCTCAGGTGGTTTTCTTAGGCTTCCATTCCACCAGCTGAGCTGTGCCCCTAGGAGTGCATTCCTTTATTATTCTGTTGCATATTCCAATTTCCTTCATTCACATAACCCACCTTCATCAGACTCAACACAACAATTTCATCCCTCGCATCTTTCAGGTGTACTAAAATTGGTTTTGCAATCACGGAGGCAGGAAGCAGGACCACAAACCCCCCACATTAACATAGGGAGGAGGTGGACTTATTGTTGGGTCATCGACACACTCCGGAAATGGGAGCTGTTGAAAAAGATACAGGATGACACGGGGGTAAAACCGGGATCAACAGAAATGATCCAGCATTATTCGAAGTATTTGAGCGTGTTGATAGAGTCTTTGACAGAGGAAGAAATTCAGGAGGCCGTCAAGATGGCAGAAGAGTGGAACAGTCAGGGTGTTCCTCCTGAGGTGCAGATAGACATCGCCAAAAAGAAAAGTGAGGGCATGGTCCACCACTTCGCCAGTGAGATGTACAAATGGGCTGGAATGAGGGTGTTTGTATTGGCTGCGAGGAAGACAGAAGAGGGCAAGCTGTTGGTGACTGGGTGAGTGGAGTTTCATCGCCCGAACAAGACACGTCTCATGTCCTGAAAGCCATGACTATAACAATGAGTTCGGTGGGGCGGAAAGTTTCACAAAGACCTGTGACTGGCAGGTCATATTGCCCGAGTGGGAGCCATATGTGATGAAATTGTTTGGTAAGAAATGTTCATCAATCTCGGTAGATGATTTACTTCTGACTTATGTGCTGCCAGTAGATGGTGATGGCGAAGATGATTGTGTGGTGCATAAGGCCGGGAGGAAGGATAACACATACATACTGGACATAGGAGACAGCAGTGTCCCCGTCCTCCTGAACTATGACAAAATGGACTCTGGAACCAGAAAGGTGGTGGTCCGAGCATATTTAAATTGGCATTACGGTAGGTGACTTGCATGCCCTTATAAATCTGACATCTGAAATTCAACACAGCAGTGTGCTCTGGGAGACCGAAAGATTTGGTTCCATGGAAAGAACTATCATCCCGACAAGACAAGATGCCACCAAGAAAGTACCTACCTGATGGCACAAAAATTCGGGAGCCCTCGAGGATGAACCGGGAGGAAGCCACAGCCTTGCTCGAATTCTGGTATAACCGACAGGAGTCATCAGATGGTCCCACTCTGAAATTCAATGGGTGGTGGTGCAAGGATCGGGTGGAGCCTCCTGTGAGAGTGGTAGAGTCAGACACTGAAGAGGAATCAACTGTTAGATCATCAAAAGTGAAGAAGACCAAAAAGTCCACAAGGAAATTGTCCCGGGAGAAGAATCGATCACATCAAATGGATGACAATTCCACTGGTAGCACAGATGATGACAGACCTGTCCAGAAAGTATCGCAGCACCAGGTGCAAGTCAGAAAGACACATGATGTTGTTGAAGAATCCTGGGAAGATTTGGAGGCAGACTCTAACAATGATGAGCCTCACAGGTTGCTTGTCAAAGTGAAGCACAAGGAAAAACAGCCAATGCATCATGTCTCAGCAGCTCGCAAGAAATGCCAGCATGAAGACTCATCAGAAGATTTGGAAGTTGAAGAACCTCAAGAGAAGGTGAAACCTCCAGTGAAGAAACCACGGGTGTTGGAGAATCAACAGGTGAAGCAGAATCCTGCTCGCAAGATTGGACCTGCTTCTCGTACTGGTGAAACATCACACTGAGGTCATGTTCAGCAGTCCAGTGACAAAGAGGGTGCCTCAGCCATCCTCCCAAACTCTACTGAGTCTGCATCAGCTCCGGCGCCATCGGGTCAGAGGCCTGCACCTGTGCCAACACAGAATAAGCCAGGCCCAAATAAAAAGAGAGCTAGAGCAGATCCTGATCCAATGGATGCAGGAGATGCATCTCCCGCGAAATGCACAAGAAGTCAGATGAAGACACTGGCACCAGCCAAACGAACTTGCAAAGCAACACGACATTAACTATGACATATTGAGAGTTGGTACATAAAATCACACTATCTTACAATGAGAGCATAATTATATCTATGTATAATCACTGTGTGCTCTCCAATTTTTCGAGGTCCTTCACCAAAATTTCCAGCAGATCCATTATCCCATTGTAGAGATGTAGCAGTCAGGTGATTGAGAGAATGTCTTCTCCCACCTCGGTCACCTGATTCCTCGCCTCGCTGTATGCGCCGAACAACCATGAATTTGCTCTCCTCACCTTCGAGGGAGCATAAGATCTTCCGAGGCTGTCAACTGCGGTTTGCATAATGCAATGCATTTGTTCATCATCTTGAGTTGGATAGATCAGTCATAATCATCTTCATATGAAATCTCACTCACCGTTGGTGTGACCCACAGCATTCAACCTCCGGAGGGCATGAGCCATGGCGGCTTCTGCTTGATGAAGGACATTGGGCGTATGATTTGATGGTCCCAGCTGGGCATTAGAACTCATCACACCTGCAGAGGCATTTGAATCCTCATCTCCCACAAAGTTGGAGCTGGAGCTCAGTGGAATCAAATCAGATTGCACCTGCTGATCTTCCACGCGATCCACAGTAGCAGTGTCATTCCACCCGAGGTCATAAACCTCGTCGATGTCGATAGCTGAGAGACCTTCATCATAATTATAATTATAATATGAGATATGAAAAACTTACAGTTGCAGCTTTGATCCTTGGATACAACATCTCACCCAAGATCATATTCATTGTCAACATTGATGGTAGAGTCTGCTTCCGAAGGTCAGCAAATATATGATCAAGGCAAAAACAACCTTACATGACAATGCCATCATCGCACATCTTGAATCCAAGGCATCCACAGTGGGTGCTTCCCATCTGAGGTCAACTCCTACAGACTCTTGGAGCACCTCACCTGAAGATACATCATTACCATCGGGTGCAAAACCCCACCCAAGGTCATAATCACCACCATCGGGTGCATAATCCCACCCTAGGTCATAACCGGCCTCTAAGTCAACACCGCCTGGCTCAGGTTCAGCATCCCACCTGAGGTCATAACTTACATCCATATCAACGTCGGGGTCGGCAGGAGTGGCAGCTCATTCCTTACTGACCCATTCCTCATTGAACATGGCTAGAAACACATTATGCTACACTCATTTCAGATCATGTGAAACACGAGTTATGATGTACAGGAACATAGTACTATGATTATGTTCCTCAGTCATCTTCCTGTCTCTATCATGTTTGATCTAGTATCACCAAGTTGTTTTATAAATGCTTCGATTGCTCAGTTGCTTGGTCGTTCCAGCCCAGGTTCCTGGTTCACTGAAATTCTTACTGCTTCCTATGAACCGATGTCGAGTTCGAGATTCTGCCCAGTCTTGATTCTGATGTTCTAATTGGTATTGCTTGCATTTTTGCGTGGCACGTGGTCGGGCGAGAAGATGAGAATCATGTCTGTAATCCCTATTCACCATCTGTATCTGGGTCTCCAGGTGATTGCCTTTGGTTGCTCTTTTGCTCGCCTATTGATTCTCTTGTGCTGCTTTAGAATCTTCATGTATGCTTGATCACGATCAAAACTGTATGCAACCTGCTGCTGGTGGTGAATCCAATTTGTCTCAGTCATCATCCCTCATCGGGGCATTTTGATAGTCTCATAGATGTTTAGAGTCTATCTTATGTGACATTCTCTTTGGGTCATATTGTTCAGGGGTCCATCTTGGGCCTCATCAAGTCATTCTTCCTCCTCCACACGTGTTTCACCATCAATACATATCCCGCTATGTTGTTTGCATTTGCGTTGATGTACGCTAGCCTCCGAATCAATGCATTGGGTGTCACATAAACTGTGCGATCTTCCAGAAAGAATGTATATCCAAGTTCTGTCTCGCTTGCGATATCATTGAACTTGCCCTATATGTCACGCTAATTTTCCTTTATTGTCATCACCTGATTTCTACATATCTTTCATACATGCAGGGTTCTTCACAATGTGTGGCTCCTTCTGTGTTCACGGTCCCATACCTCTTTACACATCCACCAAGTCTCTTCGTGAATCTGAGCAATTTTCCTCCGAAAAATTAGCTATAGCCAATGTAAGTAAAATCTTAGGATTGGACACATTATAACGAACCATTCCAGTCATAGTAGTATAAATGTGTTACAAGTAACATCGGCTACTTGGCCCCCCTATCACTTTTCCTTCATCCTTGTCCTCGCCTGCCTCCGGCTCGTACTCCTTTACCGACTATCCGTTGACTGGATCCTCGGGACTGCTCCCGTCCCTCGTCTTCCTCCTATCGCATCAATGTGCACATATGCCTTCGGGCTATGACTCGTCCTGACTCATGCCACCAATGTGGCTTTCCTTATCTGCTCTTATCTCTTATCTGACTCATGCGTGCTGCGCATTGTATCTCTTACTGTTGGTTCATTCCAATGTTTCTCAGTTTCATTCCGCATTCAACCTCCCATCACTAATCAGGCTCTGCTGCCATCATCCATCTTATAAGTCACGTGACATGTGTGTCTCTGATATCTGCTGACTCGACGTCACCAGTCTCAGTCACTACACCGGACCCTTCTGGTTATGTCACGAACATTAGCGGACGACACCCCTTTAGGGCTCCACCTAACAGATCTATTTGAGTGCGTAACAAAATGCCAGACTCGAGAGTCTTGCGTGGGATTTCATCCAGCTGTAGTTGTGAGTTCAAGCCCTTTCCAATATCACATGTGTGACTTACTATCTCCAATACAGAAAATATATTGGTAAGATATTTGATGCTCTGCTGCCCCTCAGGGACTTTTATCTTGAGCTGCAGTATTTCATGTGAAGTTGCAGCCTTTGAATGCAAGATCATTTCTTACCACATTGGAAATGTTGGAGACAAAAGATAAGAAGCCTCACCGCTGAGTCTCCAGATTGAGCACCTCTTCGACAATGTGGGCCTCTTCATGACATTTGGCCTCTTTAAGACAAGCCTCTTGATGCATCTGCCAGGTCTCTTCAGGAATCCGAGGAATTATCCTTCACAATGATAGCTATCATCAGTGCATAAGATTCATAGTCAGACACATTGAAACCGACCATTTCAAGCATAGCGCTATGAATGCCCGACTCCAGAGTCTTGCCTGGGAGGTCATCCAGCTGCAATAGTCAGTCAGAACTCCAACATGACATCTGTGACTCACTGTACCGAACACAGCAAAGAGGCCATCAATATATTTAATGCCCTGCTGCCCTCTGGGACTTGTACCTTGAGCTGTGGTATGTCATGTGAAAAGAAGCCCTCGGAATCTAAGCCCCATGACTCACCGCCTGGATAATGTTGGTGACAAAGGGCAAGAAACCTCGGTGCAAAGTATCCAAGTTGAGTACATGATTGCCACGAATATTGGAGTCAACATCTACAAGAGTACTATTTTTTTTGCGGTTCATGGTGATCCAGACCTACTTGCTTGATGAATATTTGTGGGTAGCACATGGCTAACTTCCTCATACAAGAGATCTGGTAGCTCATCACTAGTAATGGTGTGTTAACTGTAAAAGAAGCGGGGGTGATGGATGCCTGTCTGATAATTATACATTAAATATGTCTAGACTGGCTTTCTGCAACAAAGGGTGTTTCTGTGTACAAAGGGAGCTTATATAAGTGCTTCATTCTCTGGGCCCAGTAGCGTATCAGCCAATAAAAGATTGTTTATCATTTACCGTGTTTATCATTTATCATCCTAACTCTGCTCACACACCAAGTCCCCAACACCTCTGAGTGACAAATACCATTCGAATGTTGACATAATGCAGCCTCTGTCCTCCCCTCCAGGATGTCTACAAGATTGACACTTCTCAAGCTGTGATCGTACATGTGTGCTCTGACTTGCATCATATATTAGTGCATGACTCATGCTCAAGACTATATCATATAGTAAGTGTCTGGAAACGCAGAGGCTGCTCCACAATTGCCATCGACTCCAGGGCACGGTGTTTATGCCAAGACAGTGAATAAGTTTGCATTTGTCCCCACTGCCCCAGTGACGGCATGTTGGAGGGGTCCCCCAGGTCATTGTGTATGTTCCTGATTGATCACACATTCTCATGTCTCACACCAAACTTCTAATGATGAGCCAGTGGTTTTCCGCTAGTGATTGCCTTATATACGCCTGCTCATCAATGCCACAAATGGCAGCGGTGGACATTTATCGCATTCGGGCCCTCTGTCAGCTCATGCAACTTAACCGATGAGCATAGTGATCTTTCCAAACAAACAGCCTTTGTCTCTTTCACTACTTCCTGAAGTTTCTTCAGCAGGAATTTGCCTTTTCTGCCTACTTCAGCTCGCCTACACAGGGTGTGGTCCATTTTGTTTGTGAGCATTTTGTTTGTTGCATTATGCGGATTCTGACATTGTCATGATGAATTCAGTCTTCAGATGCTGCTCTCACAAAGGATCCATTGAGCCAAGGCTCAGCTCGTGCGTTCTGTTGCCAACTCTCACCTGATGTCAATTATAGTTTTCGCCTCTGCTTCCATGATGAAGCAGCCTTATGTCCTTCTCATACTATATCAGCACCCTTCATACTCGCTTTACACCAATGGATCTTCCTGAGGTGGCTAGGTCCTGTTGTGCCCTAGCTTCTGACTACCTCACCTGCACCAAGTCTTACACCCCATACAAATCCATGGGCCATCGGGTGAATGATGATTTAGACCTCGACATTAGTGACATTGATTCTGATGAAATTGACACTGACGAAGATGTCGAGGGTGGCTATGACTGGGTGTTTGCTGATAAAGTCACCATTGAGATGTAGTCTCATGAGGCGCCCAAAGCGAACATTGTACAGACGATGAGATATATACAGAACTGTGAATATTGATGTAGTATTTCTATACTGCATAATTTATATGATGAAAGGCTGATCTGAGAAACAAACTGTCTTATTGGAAGACACTGCACACTCAGTAGATGGTTATGCAGCCACTTCATGAAAGCTCACGAGCCTTTCAGGTTAACGAAATCACTCTGTGTGCGTAGTTACAGTTCTACTGGTCAAATAATTTGGAAGCATGATCAGTGCCATGCTACAAGAGCATCTTCGAAGGGATTTTCGACTATATCTGATTTCAAGCTCCGTATATACTCACTTGGCCCAATTGATATTGATACCATGTTTCCAAGCACTCTTTTGGGAGACCCTGATTTTCAGCCCAGATCCTGGCCCGAATCACATGTGTTATTACTATACACAACTAAAGTGGCAAGGCAAAACACAGAAGATGTCATGGGTATCATTGTACACTTTGTACTAATTCATCTGCTAAACCTTAAATCATCACCACCGTGACAGACAGTTCATAACAGCATCCTATGATGATCACCTACGTCTCTTTGACCATTTCCAAAATCTGGCTCTCGATGCCTCTGTGCACCAATCACCCATCATTTCCGTCTGCATTGTATTGTACCATCCCCATCATCAGACAGTGAGTCTCACATTTTGTTGCATGACCTCACTGTGTGTCTTACGTGCATATATCTGAGCTCAGACATTTACACTACATCCACTGTGGCTTCTCTACATCTCCACACCAGCCCACCATCCAGCATCCTCCACTTTTTTCTGCAGGTTAACCTACAAAAGGTAAGGCATATAGCACTCCCCGTACAAGGGTGAGGGGGCCAGTGTCATCGAATTTCACAGTCGCCAACGTCTCCAGTTGCCTTTTAAGGTCTGGTTGGGAGAGAGACGAGATGGTCCTATCGAAGATGGACACTGTGCAGTCTGTGGATGCAGCGAGGAGGTTATTCCCATTGGAGGTTTCAGCAATATTGAGCATCGGACGCTCAGGCAGGTTCTGATGCGGAAAGATATATTCAGTTTGAGTTCAGGCAACATAGAATAAGACTCACAATGATATTTATACATACACCACTCTTGACATCCTAGGTTTGCACCATCAAGTCAAAACTAGTGACCTTATATGATAAAGGTGAGCATTTGTGTAAGTATGCGCATACAGACCTGACTCTTGCTGCAGCAATGTATCACCATTGTATTGTTTAAGTTCTTGAGCATTTAGCTTGTACAATCGCTTGTCAATGCTCCAGCCACTCAGTGAGTGTGGATGTCATGGCTACATTATGCACACGGCAGTACCTGCTGAGGTGCATGGAAAGTCCACAGTCGCAAACTTCAACATCGCAGTTTGGAAGTTGACCATAGTGAGGACAGCGAGCAAAAATAATGAGACTGAATAGAGAGAGGCTACTGGAGAGCTGCTGCATCAATGATTATAATTGATAAGTCTTAAATATACAAATGAGAATGGTCCGAAGGAAGGTGTTTCAAAGGCATGAACCGAACAATTAAAATAGGACTCGGACTGTACCTTTGAAACACGAACTGTTACTAGAACTATAAATGAGGTTTCCCTCACAACACCTGTGCAAGACAGTGCTGATCCTAAGATGAATACATTTACACTTCATGCGGTATATATGCGAGGTAGACTCGTAACCAGTCTGACTACTATCATAGTGTCAATTTGAGATGGGTGAGAATTTATTGACGCAGGCAGACTGGTCAGTTCAACTTTGGTAGGCGAAGCGAGGAGTTTGAAATTGGCAGATGCCGGTATGCTGCTTCGGGTAACATTACTTGTCAACAAATGGTGATCCTTGGGAAAGAATATAGAATCACAAGAAGCCTCGAGAACTTGCTGTTGTTGTGTCATTGAGAGGGCCCTCATAAAGTCCATTGGGAGATTCTCAATTGTATCGAGCAAGCAATAAAGGTCACAATACACAACTCATGGTTGAAATTTTGAAACTTAACATAGTATTAGTGTACAGTCTGAAGACACATAACTTGTGCTATATGATCAGAACTACCCCTGGCACGACCAGCACCTATCAAATTTCAAACTCCTCGCTTTGTCCTGCCATGCCACCCTGAGATCGACCAGCCTGGCTACACCACTTGTGCATTCATGGTAGTATACGCCAGGCTGGTCACGAGCCTATATGCAAGGTACATACCCCAAAAATCATAGATCAATTAGTGGCACAATGTGAACATTGAGAAAAGCCATGGAGTACAACACAAATAGGAGCCCAAAATCTGTAAGGTCTTCGGCAAATTCAATCAGAGTTATATTACAAAGCTTGTCTGCCTGCACTTGCTACCTGCGATTAGTATCAAACTCAAAAGCAATGTTGATGTCAGGTTCCATTCTCACCATGATCTTTATTGCATGTAACCTATCGACATCATTCACCTACTTGCTTCCCTTGTGTCTATCATGGATCCCTTGACATAGCTCTCTTATCCACCATATATCTACTTGACATCTTGCTGACTTGCTGCATTAGCACTCAATTTGGGTGTTCTATCACTGGTTTCCTGCAACTAACATCAAGATGGCACCTTTAACCTTTGTCCTGGTGTCAACAAGCTTGCTGATGCCTCTAAGTTCACAATATACGATGATATCCGGATGTATACGGACTCAATCTCTCATGGTAGCACCACTTCTTCCACATAGGCGGCAAACATTGATTTCTGCACTTGGAAAGATCAATCCTGGCGCTCACTACTCTATCATGACACCTCAACATCCAGATAACATTTGGACTGATCAAGAAATAGTTAGTATGTTTGCATGTTTTGTTGTTGTTTTCTCTCTCGTTCTAACTTTTTGGATTTTCGTCATTGTAGGGAGACAACGAAAGTCTTATGGACCTCGATAACGTCCAGACTGGTCAAGAAATAGTATGTTCGTGTGTTTTGTTGTTGTTTTCTCTCTTGTTCTAACTTTTTGGATTTTTGTCATTGTAGGGAGACAATGAAAGTCTTATGGACGTCAATAACGTCCAGACTAGTCAAGAAATAGTACGTTCACCTGTTTTTTTTCCACTCATTCTAACCTTCTCTACCCTAGCCTCATGTGAAGAAGACTCATCACTTCAGACCTGGCACAGTTGCCCTCTGTGAAATCAGGAGCTATCAGAAATCCACCGGGCTGCTCATCCGCAAGCTCCCCTTCCAGAGGCTTGTGCTGGCTGCCATTCACGCCCCGAGAGTCACCATGTAAGCTTCTTCCAAGTGATTAGTAGTTTGATTGCTCACACCTTTTTGTAGTCAGCCCAAGGATCTTGCTCTTGCTCGCCGTCTCCGGAGCGAACGTTCCTAATCTACCAAACCACTTGTCTGAGTGTTAATTTTGATTCATATGTGTTTCATAGAAGTGCTTGTATTCACCACTCTTGCCCTTGAATATACTTGTACTAGTATATTATCTACATGTAGTACTGTCTCATTAACAAAGTGTCTACAAAACTGTATCTAAAACATCTGTAACACTGTTTACCAAAGTGGAATATATGTCAAAGTCTTTTTTGAAAGCCATAGCATTTCGACAAAAAAAACATGCCACAGGTAGCATGGGCTTTTCTGGCGCTATAGGTTAGATAGTAGTATGTGGTGTGTGGGAACAAGTACATGTACTGGTGGGTCAGAGATCATGATGCAATATGACAGGTTCCCTCAAATTGAAACATCACTCACATCAAGTCATCCGTTGTCTCTGTCATTTATTGGATGAATCACTTGCATTGGCCCTTGTCCTGGATTGCCTGCCAGTGGGCAATGCCGATGAAAGTAGAGTTGCAGAAGTAATTCTGTTCATTTTTGTATGCTTTACTCAACTATTCCTAGCATCTTCGAGTTATGAATCTATCCTGATGCATTCATCTCATAGGGAGTGGAAGCTCACCCACTCTTCTATGAAGCCTCTCGAGTGTGAATTCTTGTCAATATGTAAGTCAGTATCCACCACCCAATTGATTGAATGTTTCATTCTAGCTCTTATTAAGGCTCTCATAAATACTGTTGAAGAGGTGCCAAATACTGCCCAGCTCCTCTTGGCTACTGCATTATTTTCGGAAGTAGAGTCTGTTTTCCCTGATAGCCCACCTTTTGTCTTGCGGCCTCTTAGAGAAGTTCACTATTATGAAGTGTAAGGTTTAAGTGCAAGCATTTGCACAGAGATGACAGGTGCACGATCTCTGGTTATCTAATACCTCACTGGCACTCAGCCTGCCAATCGGTCTTGTCAGCCCTATTGCGTCTACCAATGTGATCACGTGCATATATATTTTCACTGCCAACAAAGGGATATGCACCAGGAATATATATGTGCCACTCTATGAAATTGCTAGCACTCCTTGTTTTCCTTCCCTTCATTTGGATGTGCTCTACTCATACGAGATGGGAAAGAGTACCTTTGGAAAGCAAAGATGGATATCTTCCCTGTTTCCATTCTGCCGCCCTGGTAAGCATCCAGTAGAATCAGAGAGATGTTTTTAATTGCTTCATAGAACATCACATGGCTCGAATCGAAGAGGCTCGTGGGTCAGTCCTCTCTGCGATTCAACCCACACAAGATGCTCCAAAATTACAGGTTGACACCATTACTGAGGCCCTCCAGACTATTCAAAGCCATGCGGCATCAAAGGCAAACCAACCGACTGCAGGTGAAGGGCTCCCACCAGAAGATGACTCTGCTGCCAATCAACAGCTCCCGAGCCAAACAGCTGGTTGGGCTTCACATGAAAGCTCCCCATGGCCCCTAGAAGGGCCTCCCAACAGTGATGACTCCGCCACTTGCCAACGTCCCCCAAACTATCCCGCTAATGGGACTGTAGATGACATCTTACCTGATGAAGGCCACGCTGAGGCTGATGAATTGATTTCAGAAGATGGGGACGACACCAATAATATGGGTGGCCTGACCAAACCACCTCCATGGCATCAGATCAATGATTCTACTGAAAAACTAGAATTTGAACACTGGATGGCCGATAATGAAGATCATCACGAGCTGATGAATGAGGATGATGGACCAGACGATGCTGATGATACCGATGATATGATATACACTCCATGGCATGGATTCAGTGAGATTGATGACTACTGTGAGTTGACTGACTTACCTTGACAGCATCAGATCAATAATTCTGTTGAACTAGTAGAGTCATCTGACCAGACGCCCAAAGCTGAAGAGTACGACGGCCCCGAGTTGATTAATGAGGATAATGGACCAGATGATGGATGCGATGCTGATGATACTGATGATATTGCCTACGCTCCATGGTGTGGGTTCAGTGAGATGGATGACTGCTGTGAGTTGACTGACTTACCTCGATGGCATCAGATCAATGATTCCATTGGACTAGTAGAGTTGTCTGACCAGACACCTGATGATGAAGAGTGCAATGGGCAGATGGATGAGGGTGATGGACCAGATGGTGGAGACAATGCCAACACCAGTCCCGAGACCTGCGTGCCTCCATGGCATGAGGTCAGTACATTCAGAGGTGAAGGCCATACTGGGATGATGGATGAGGGCGATGGAGATGTCGAGGTGAACATTGAAGGTGACAATGATAGTGAAGAGGATGGTTTGCTGTGCACTGGCATTCAAATTAACCTTGGAAAGTCAATTGAGTGAGAGGCTGTGAAAGACCCCATACGCTGCACTTACTATCACTGCAGGCATTTCCTCATTTTCCTTCACCAAACATCCAAAAAACATTGAATTAGAAGATAGAAATTTCTTTGTATTGTGTGTATCAAAACATTGAAAAAAAATAATGAATGTATTGAAGATTTTCTGTATGCAAGACATAATCTAAAAATGAGTCATTTTCCCTCAAGAAACAGTCTATATTTTTCATTCATCATTCCTCAAATAACAATTTACAATCATGTTAAATTTTTTGCCTCTGTTTTTCCAATGTTCTGTGTATCAAAAATCTCAATTACTTCATCCTGTTCACCATATGTTTGATCCAAGAACATTGAAAAATCATATAACAAATAATAATAAATATTTTGACAATGTTTTGTTAAGGAAAAGCAAAGAAACTTTCAAACTTTCATTTGTATATTTGATAAGAGGAAATTTATGAAACATGCCCCATGTTTTGTAAGAATAAATACATAATGTTTGCAGCATATTCCTCCTGCACAACACTTGAAAAACATTTATTATGTTCAGAGAAAAAAAAATGAAACATGATTGCAGGATACTCTGCCTCAGAACATGCACAAATTATACATTTTTTTCTGCACACAACAGGTGGAAAATACAGCATTATCCTTGAAGGAACATGATGAATTTTGGCATCATGTCCCACACACAGAAAATCATTGAAACATAAATTATTATTTTTTCAATGTTTTGACAGACAAAATGAAGGTACACTGGTCCAAGTAGTGCTGCTAAGAACCAAGAACTATTCGGCGGGGAAATGAGAACAAAATGGTGTGACAATATAGAAGGGTTTTTGAGAAGATTTTTAGTAATGGTGAAGCGATGAGTATAGAGGCAAGGTTGAGAGTGGGGGCGCAAGTGCCAAACCTGGCTCCAGCTCTACCAGAGTCGACAAACCCTGGATTGAACCTTTGCAAACTGTTCAGAGTGATCATGTTTGGTTTTTTTGGGGTTCAAATGTGAACCATCCATGTCACAAGCCAACAACTGGACTGCTTGGTGCAGCACTGAGGCAGTCATGTACTAAATACACCAACTGCAGTTTCACAGGCAGAAAGAAATGCAAATTAATGCCAAGTGATGTCAAGGAGCAAAAGCAGCTGGTTGTGCATAAGAAAGGCTGACTTAAAGGATTCATCAATTTTCTGTGTCCCATGGGCCATGACATGTGTAAGGATTGTCTATCCTCTACGCACGGCCTGCACCTCAAAAAGGAAATCTGAGAACTGTCATTCACAAAGTCCACGTGACTCACGGATGCAAGAAAGCTCTACACTTCGCATCCGAGTTATGTGGATACATTCTCTCACTTCTCCATTCTCTCTTTTTCCGTTATCTTACCTTGTGCTCAAACTTCACAATACCCTTGTTTCACAAAAGTATTTTCACCTCGCCATATGCTCCCCATTCTTATTTCAGGTAAAGTACTCGAAAATGTATTTATACTGCTCATGTACACTCATAACAACAGCAGAATCATATGTTGGTTCCCTGCTCAAAGCAAACTTTGCTCTACAGAAAGTCTTAGCCTCTCGAAATGTTTCGTCTTCACACTTGCGCCCCCACTCTCAACCTTGCCTCTATACTCATCGCTTCACCATTACTAAAAATCTTCTCAAAAAACCCTTCTATATTGTCACACCATTTTGTTCTCATTTCCCCGCCGAATAGTTCTTGGTTCTTAGCAGCACTACTTGGACCAGTGTACCTTCATTTTGTCTGTCAAAACATTGAAAAAATAATAATTTATGTTTCAATGATTTTCTGTGTGTGGGACATGATGCCAAAATTCATCATGTTCCTTCAAGGATAATGCTGTATTTTCCACCTGTTGTGTGCAGAAAACAATGGATAATTTGTGCATGTTCTGAGGCAGAGTATCCTGCAATCATGTTTCATTTTTTTTCTCTCAACATAATAAATGTTTTTTAAGTGTTGTGCAGGAGGAATATTGTAAGCACACTGGCTTACCTGAGTTCTCATAATCAGTACATATACCGTCGCTGATACTGAAAGCTAAGCTTTCAGTATTTCACCTTTTGGTGTAACGGTTATGCGTGGCGGCAGTCTGACCATGTTACATATACTGAAAGCTTAGGGTTTGCAGGAGGTCAGGCGTTCCAACCCGCTCCGGGTCAAATTCCAAGGTTTGCCCTTGTGGTGGACATATGTACCCTCCCGTTTCGGATAGAAACTCCCACACAAACCACAGTGCCTAAGCGATTGGGAGCAGGACTGGTGGGGGAGAAAAAAAGATCTGATAACGTGGGAGGGTGTAAGCACGCTGGCTTACCTGAGTTCTCATAATCAGTACATATACCATCGCTGATACTGAAAGCTAAGCTTTCAGTATTTCACCTTTTGGTATAACGGTTATGCGTGGCGGCGGTCTGACCATGTTACAAATATACTGCAAACATTATGTATTTATTCTTACAAAACATGGGGCATGTTTCATAAATTTCCTCTTATCAAATATACAAATGAAAGTTTGAAAGTTTCTTTGCTTTTCCTTAACAAAACATTGTCAAAATATTTATTATTATTTGTTATATGATTTTTCAATGTTCTTGGATCAAACATATGGTGAACAGAATGAAGTAATTGAGATTTTTGATACACAGAACATTGGAAAAACAGAGGCCAAAAATTTGACATGATTGTAAATTGTTATTTGAGGAATGATGAATGAAAAATATAGACTGTTTCTTGAGGGAAAGTGACTCATTTTTAAATTATGTCTTGCATACAGAAAATCTTCAATACATTCATTATTTTTTTTTAATGTTTTTTGGATGTTTGTTGGAGGAAAATGAGAAAATGCCTGCAGTGTATGTTCTTTCACAGTTGCTGACTTGACATAGGGGATAGCAGAAATGGAGGAGTTGATCAAAAGAGGGTTTTTGAATAATGTGACAGTTTTCATGGTTGCCTCATTTTATATTTACTGATGATGTCCATACAGGAGGCAGAATATTCTACTAAACAGAAGCACTCCGAGAACCCCAAGCACTTTCTATAGCCTTTTAACAGAAAACATCACGAAGGTAGCAGCAGCTCAGCAGGTGAAGTCAATTCATGCGCGCTCAGCAGCCCATGACCTGACATCTTTTATGTTGATCAGTCTCAGATGAGAGCGCCTTCCTCAGCCATCCAACATGTGGAGCATACTGATGATGACCTTGCCAAACTCATCTCCGATGCAGTTGGACAAGCTATGAGAGACATATTAGCAAATCTACCTCAGGCATGCGCTGCATACAAACCTCGGACTCGACACTATACTCATGATGACGGAATGGAAGCCAATACAGAAGAGGACAATTACAGAAGCAAACTGAAGAAGATCAAGGGAAGGCCCAAGTGTCGTCTGGGAATAAGAAATGAATTCCTTGTATGTATTCCCATCCTTGAGGGTATCTCTCCAAGTTGACTTTTCCTCAAGTGGACGATTCAAGAGCACGGTCTTTTACTCACATACCGCAATAAACTAGACTGTGACTTCTATGATGTGCCCACACCTGAAGAAGTAGCTGCATTTGATCCTACCCAAGGGCCTTGCTGTATGGTGGAACACTTCTGCATGGATGTCTGAGGCTTTCCTAAGAGTGATTGGAATATTTCTGCAACTCAAGTCTTTGCCCAGAGCTTCTTAGAGGCTCATGCAAAATATAGAGATAAGACAGAAGATGAAGTAGAGAGTGCATGGATGACACACCTGGCCTATCTCAGAAATGTGTATCAGCGACAGACTGTGAAGGCTCGAAATATTGAGGCTGACAAGCAACATCATCGTCGCAAGGAGCATCAAATGCAGGTATGTCAGTCATTTTGTCTCACCTTTCTTGTACTCATTGGCCATTTTAAGATGTATTATTGCCGCATGGGTGTTGCTGAAGGCTGCCGCCACCTGCGTAAGGATGGACTTACCATCATCAAAGAGTTGGGCATTGATGGCATGAGCTCAGATGAGTTCAATCATCCACCAGGGAACGGCATACTGGTCTACCAGGTCCAAGTCAAACATTGGCATTCACACAAGATAACAGACTTACTGCAAGCTTGTGATGCCCTGCATCTGAGGATGAGATATGGTGGAGACTGGGATGTGTCACCTGGGGCATGGCCTCACCTCTGTGTTCCATCACTCAAGCACAGCACCAGGAGCCCCTTCAGTAACTTTTTCCAATATATAGGGCCACCCAAAGTTGATAATCCACCCAGTGAGACGTGTCACCCGAGGTGGGCCCAAATGAAGGTGCACCAATGGAGAAGGTGGGCCCGAGGTATGGTCTAGTGGTCCATAATTTAGGGTAGGCACAGTATGTGATATAAGTATTGTGCTACCGATATGGATGGTTGGGCCCAAACAATAAATAGTATACCCATATTGATGGCAGGGCTAGTATGACCAGGCGGGTTATAGGAATGGGCCCAGGTGCCTGTGCTGCCGAGATGAATAGTAGGGCCCATATCAGTAGGTGACATATATGGATGGGCCTAGGTGCCTGTGCTGCTGAGATGGATAGTAGGACCCATATCAATAGGTGACATATAGGGATGGGCCCAGGTAGATGTGCTGCCGATATAGATAGATGGGCCCACATAATTGTACCACCTATATGGATGGTAGGGCCCATATGACGAGGCAATATATAGGGATGCGCTCAGATAAATATGCTGCTGAAGTGAAAGGCTTGGCCCATACTACTGTACTACCTGGATTAATTAATGGTAGGGCCAATATGACAAGCTGAGATATAGGGACGGGCCCAGGTAACAGTGCTGCCGAGATGCATGGGTGGGCCCATACGATAGTACTACCGATATTGATACCCAACCCAAGCCCCCTAAATGAATATGCAGCTGGGATCATCTCCTACCGAGGTACATATACTGCCTACTTTACGAGCCTCTGATATATCTAAGTGCATGTAGCAGTAGAGGTAGGTTTCTCTAAGAGAGCCACTTCCCATGAATTATACATGCTCAACAGGGTCTCACATGTAGGAGAGGAGGGTATTCAACCATTCAGGACATCCGACTGCCATTATTCAACTGAAACACAGCTAACTCGGCAAGATGCAATCAGATTGACTGCACAGTTCCAAAGCTACCTAGAGCTCATCTACATCTTCACATTACATGAGTCAGGTCATATGCTCCCGGATGATGATATACCGAGGTTGTGTCATAGCCTAGTATCAAACAGGGATTATAAGTATTAAAAGACATTACATGGGAAACTACACCCGAATATTGATGCTACTGATATTGCGGTGCAGAGGGACAACTTCCAGAGGCTATGCAATCGATGCTTAAATACTGGCAGCAGAACACGACATAATGGTCAACATACATTGATACTGTCCATTGCAGCCGAGATATCATACATTATCCTACTATGTACATAGACACTGGTCATTGAGGGAACTACTGATGAACTATTATTGTACAATGAAATGAATACTCAAAACAATCAAACTACCTTGTGCCTGATGGTAATGCCGAAGCAGCACCAGGCAAATTTGATGGATTAGCTGGGTCTGATGTCTCGGGCGACACATGTGACTCATCCCAAGTGTGAGTGTACCTTCTACCGACATGTGACACCAATGGCTCATCGGCGGAAGCAGGTGCTGGAGGATTCCCAGGGAACCAAGCTGGGGGGAGGGTGCCATAGGGAGAGGTACTGTTGCCGGAGATGGGAGGAGGCGCAAAGGAGGGGTTGGGGTTATTGGGCGGGTGGATGGAGTTAATGAGGCTGGCCAAGTTACCAGATATCATTGAGTTGTTGAGAGTTTTGGTCTCCAGGTTACTGACCTTGGCCTCAAGGAGAGTGAACTTTTTCTCCCAGTCCTGCTCCAATGCTGATACCCGCTCACCCATTTGCGCATGCCAACCCTGTGCCTGGTTGTTGGACACCTGAAGGTTGTCCATTCTCCTGCCAAGAGCCTCCATACCAAGCAGAAGGTCTCTTGCTGTGACTTAAGGGAAAACGACAGGAGCAGGGTCTGCAGTGGCCGGAGGGGCATCAACCAAGGTTAGTGGGTGAGTGGTATCTTCAATATCCCCACCAAATGGATGACTTTGTTCCTCAGCAGGAGGATCTGTAGGGGCACATTGAACGGATGGGACTGGGACCTCCAGGTCCAAAGGAGTGTGATGATCGATTAAGGGGGTGTCTGCTTCAACCCCTAAATCATCCAGAGGAAATTGCATATCTGGATTGAGTGAGTAATGATGGCTTATATTCAGCAGAAGACCTACCATTGTCCCTGGCAGCGACATCGACAAGGGGATGCTGAACATCGGTGGAAGTTGGAACATTTGAAGAACATCAGCATCTAGGAGTTCTAACCAGAAATAACACTTACCTGTACTCCTGGGCTCTGTGGTTGGAGCATGCATATCGGTATCAACATCAGCTGATTGACCGACCTCAACATCACCCTCCAAATCATTCTCGGTAGGAGAAGTACCCTTAATCTCACCGCAGATCGTGTTGTACGACTGACTGATCTTTTTGCGGGTGTATGGGAGGTCGATTTTGCTGGTTTCCGGCCTCGGGACTTCTTCTCCTTAACTGCTGCTTTAGATGCGGTTGCAGCCTTCTTTTTTGCTACTATGTCCTGCAAAGCATCTTCAGCCTCGGGAATAAGCCTTACATATTTGACCTTTTTGTCCTTGCAGGCAGGACAGGTCTTACAAACCTCACCAATCTTCCTACTGAGCCTCACAAGATAAGGCCGATCTTCCTTGATGCATTGAACACATGTCGATGGATGCAGCTGTTGTGACGGCCATTCGGTAGTGGCTATGGCATCATCATCAGACCAATCATTGGGCTACAATCCAACCATGAGTATATTGCCGAAGACAAAAAGAACAAACAAGAGCTTACCCTTATGACTGGTGAGTCTGCACGACTCGGTTGATCTACCTGGAGCTCATCAACATCAGTCAAGATGCTCATTGTGCTGCCAGTGCTGGCAGCAGGCAAAGGTTCAAGATGATCAGCTGGTGCATTCTTTGCAGCCAGTGCACTTGTTCCTGGCTGAAAAATAATTAGTCAAGGCGGTTGGAATCAATTACTGGCTTGACGATGATGACTGCACCATCAGCACTTTCATCATCGCTGACAAACTTCTTCGACCTTACAACTTTTCTCTTCAAGGATTTTACTGTGTCCTCCCAAGGCTCTGGATTCATTTTCACAGCCTTGTGTTGGTGCCAGCAACAAATAAATTGAACTTGGGAGCCTCACCTGCCAGAACTGATGCTTTGATGGGCGCCGGTGCTTGGATGGGAGATGGCACCATCACAGCAGGTGGAGGGGTGGCAATGGTAGGAGGTGCGGGAAGAGCCACAATAGTGGGTGCTGGAGAGCCTTGATCCGGCTGTTGATAGCCAATGATCTTGATGAATCGCGGGTAAGAAGCAATCTGTGGGTCGTCCATGCGGACAGAAGACCAGTCGGGCAGTGTCACGATTTTCCGTGTCACAGGGTCACTGTGGTCACGGATCTCAGTGGCACAAGACAACAGCATCAGGGAGAATGGAGTGGAGGCCTCCCCATGCTCCTGTAATGATTTTGCCTAAATGAAACAATAAGGTATCAGTCATGAGATAATTCAAAGGCAAAGACTTACAATTATTTTGGTGATCTCATGAGCGAACACCATAGCATTCAGATGACCGACCTGCAACTTCATTGACCTTACCATCAAGTGCCGGATGTCTTCCATGGTGGCATTGAGGGCAGCATTTGCATGTTGAGAAGCAGACATCATCAATGATATAATTGGGGTAGGAATAATCAGTTACAAAATATAAGGTACAAGTATGTACTTTGGGAGGGAAAAGGGAGGGCAAGGGCTGAGTATTTATAGGGAACGACAAATTGTGGAGATAACTCAGCTGTGGTATGTGACATTATCAGCAATTATTGTTCCCTGCAGAAGATGTGGGCTGAAGATCAATAAAATTATGTTTGTGGCTCAATCTCGGCGCCTATTGTGAGAAATGTTTAATGTTTATTGTTGCACATGTCCACAACAACATCGTGGAGCTGTTCCATCATGAATTCTTCAAAGTTCATTGTTCCTCGCATCCACCCGAGTGGTCAGCTATCTTCCATAAAATCAGGCACACCCATTTTAAAATCACATTTCCTCCCACCATGTTGTCTCGCCGCATTCACTTCACTCCACCTTTGAATGCAACTCGGGCTCATACTGTTGCAACAGCAAGTGAGTCACATTCAGTTCAGATGCAACAAGCCTGTCGAGAATGGTGGGGTAACTTTGTTCCCATAGCCGATTGGGAGCCTCCAGAAATTTGCAAGTCTAAATTTGATGGAATGAAGATACAAAGTAAGTCTATTTTTGCATGTCTTTGCAAATTCAATTGATTCATTAGATTATCGCATATCACCAGAGATAGACAAACACGGAGACCCTGAATGCTCATATGATAGAGCATTTGCTGGTGCAAATGACACATTTGGCGAACTGACAGGTAAGTTTAACTATTTTAATATCTGCTTCTATTGAACATGTGTTTCTAGCCATGTTCAATGAGGAATGGGTCAGTAAGGAATGAGCTGCCACTCCTGCTGACCCCGACGTTGATATGGATGTAAGTTATGACCTCAGGTGGGATGCTGAACCTGAGCCAGGCGGTGTTGACTTAGAGGCCGGTTATGACCTAGGGTGGGATTATGCACCCGATGGTGGTGATTATGACCTTGGGTGGGGTTTTGCACCCGATGGTAATGATGTATCTTCAGGTGAGGTGCTCCAAGAGTCTGTAGGAGTTGACCTCAGATGGGAAGCACCCACTGTGGATGCCTTGGATTCAAGATGTGCGATGATGGCATTGTCATGTAAGGTTGTTTTTGCCTTGATCATATATTTGCTGACCTTCGGAAGCAGACTCTACCATCAATGTTGACAATGAATATGATCTTGGGTGAGATGTTGTATCCAAGGATCAAAGCTGCAACTGTAAGTTTTTCATATCTCATATTATAATTATAATTATGATGAAGGTCTCTCAGCTATCGACATCGACGAGGTTTATGACCTCGGGTGGAATGACACTGCTACTGTGGATCGCGTGGAAGATCAGCAGGTGCAATCTGATTTGATTCCACTGAGCTCCAGCTCCAACTTTGTGGGAGATGAGGATTCAAATGCCTCTGCAGGTGTGATGAGTTCTAATGCCCAGCTGGGACCATCAAATCATACACCCAATGTCCTTCATCAAGCAGAAGCCGCCATGGCTCATGCCCTCCGGAGGTTGAATGCTGTGGGTCACACCAACGGTGAGTGAGATTTCATATGAAGATGATTATGACTGATCTATCCAACTCAAGATGATGAACAAATGCATTGCATTATGCAAACCGCAGTTGACAGCCTCGGAAGATCTTATGCTCCCTCGAAGGTGAGGAGAGCAAATTCATGGTTGTTCGGCGCATACAGCGAGGCGAGGAATCAGGTGACCGAGGTGGGAGAAGACATTCTCTCAATCACCTGACTGCTACATCTCTACAATGGGATAATGGATCTGCTGGAAATTTTGGTGAAGGACCTCGAAAAATTGGAGAGCACACAGTGATTATACATAGATATAATTATGCTCTCATTGTAAGATAGTGTGATTTTATGTACCAACTCTCAATATGTCATAGTTAATGTCGTGTTGCTTTGCAAGTTCGTTTGGCTGGTGCCAGTGTCTTCATCTGACTTCTTGTGCATTTCGCAGGAGATGCATCTCCTGCATCCATTGGATCAGGATCTGCTCTAGCTCTCTTTTTATTTGGGCCTGGCTTATTCTGTGTTGGCACAGGTGCAGGCCTCTGACCCGATGGCGCCGGAGCTGATGCAGACTCAGTAGAGTTTGGGAGGATGGCTGAGGCACCCTCTTTGTCACTGGACTGCTGAACATGACCTCAGTGTGATGTTTCACCAGTACGAGAAGCAGGTCCAATCTTGCGAGCAGGATTCTGCTTCACCTGTTGATTCTCCAACACCCGTGGTTTCTTCACTGGAGGTTTCACCTTCTCTTGAGGTTCTTCAACTTCCAAATCTTCTGATGAGTCTTCATGCTGGCATTTCTTGCGAGCTGCTGAGACATGATGCATTGGCTGTTTTTCCTTGTGCTTCACTTTGACAAGCAACCTGTGAGGCTCATCATTGTTAGAGTCTGCCTCCAAATCTTCCCAGGATTCTTCAACAACATCATGTGTCTTTCTGACTTGCACCTGGTGCTGCGATACTTTCTGGACAGGTCTGTCATCATCTGTGCTACCAGTGGAATTGTCATCCATTTGATGTGATCGATTCTTCTCCCGGGACAATTTCCTTGTGGACTTTTTGGTCTTCTTCACTTTTGATGATCTAACAGTTGATTCCTCTTCAGTGTCTGACTCTACCACTCTCACAGGAGGCTCCACCCGATCCTTGCACCACCACCCGTTGAATTTCAGAGTGGGACCATCTGATGACTCCTGTCGGTTATACCAGAATTCGAGCAAGGCTGTGGCTTCCTCCCGGTTCATCCTCGAGGGCTCCCGAATTTTTGTGCCATCAGGTAGGTACTTTCTTGGTGGCATCTTGTCTTGTCGGGATGATAGTTCTTTCCATGGAACCAAATCTTTCGGTCTCCCAGAGCACACTGCTGTGTTGAATTTCAGATGTCAGATTTATAAGGGCATGCAAGTCACCTACCGTAATGCCAATTTAAATATGCTCGGACCACCACCTTTCTGGTTCCAGAGTCCATTTTGTCATAGTTCAGGAGGACGGGGACACTGCTGTCTCCTATGTCCAGTATGTATGTGTTATCCTTCCTCCCGGCCTTATGCACCACACAATCATCTTCGCCATCACCATCTACTGGCAGCACATAAGTCAGAAGTAAATCATCTACCGAGATTGATGAACATTTCTTACCAAACAATTTCATCACATATGGCTCCCACTCGGGCAATATGACCTGCCAGTCACAGGTCTTTGTGAAACTTTCCGCCCCACCGAACTCATTGTTATAGTCATGGCTTTCAGGACATGAGACGTGTCTTGTTCGGGCGATGAAACTCCACTCACCCAGTCACCAACAGCTTGCCCTCTTCTGTCTTCCTCGCAGCCAATACAAACACCCTCATTCCAGCCCATTTGTACATCTCACTGGCGAAGTGGTGGACCATGCCCTCACTTTTCTTTTTGGCGATGTCTATCTGCACCTCAGGAGGAACACCCTGACTGTTCCACTCTTCTGCCATCTTGACGGCCTCCTGAATTTCTTCCTCTGTCAAAGACTCTATCAACACGCTCAAATACTTCGAATAATGCTGGATCATTTCTGTTGATCCCGGTTTTACCCCCGTGTCATCCTGTATCTTTTTCAACAGCTCCCATTTCCGGAGTGTGTCGATGACCCAACAATAAGTCCACCTCCTCCCTATGTTAATGTGGGGGGTTTGTGGTCCTGCTTCCTGCCTCCGTGATTGCAAAACCAATTTTAGTACACCTGAAAGATGCGAGGGATGAAATTGTTGTGTTGAGTCTGATGAAGGTGGGTTATGTGAATGAAGGAAATTGGAATATGCAACAGAATAATAAAGGAATGCACTCCTAGGGGCACAGCTCAGCTGGTGGAATGGAAGCCTAAGAAAACCACCTGAGGTCTCAAACCCAGGTGGGTACCGGTTAAACAGACTCAACCAAGCAAGTCTGTTTCGTCCTTGCCAACAAAATCTCCAACCAAGCAAGGTTCAGACATGATGCATCATCAATTGTTCCCAGACTACAATGTCAATTTTGAGCACGAGGGGCAAGGGCCCATTCCATTCTCAAATATGAAGAGGCAGAGGAAGAAAACAAAGGCAAGTCTGTTCCCACATCTCCATCCCCATCAACTGGTTTCAGGCTGATGCCATCATCCCAGGGTCCAAACAACTACCTCAGGGAGTGGAAACAAAGGACTGAGGATCATCTGGATATGTTCATGGCAAGGGAGGCTCCTCATTCAGACAGGGTGTGTTTGTTGTGCGACCGAGACAGAGCTTATAGGTGTCATGACTGTTTTTCCAAGCCAATCTTCTGCAGTGAGTGCTGCTGAACACAGCATGTCTGACTGCCATTTCATAAGACTAGTTGATGGAATGGAGACTTCTTCGAGGAGAGCTCATTGACGAGATTGGGCATGGAGTACTATCTCAGCCACAGGGGACTCCCATGCCCGATGAACGTGGGAGGGCCTGAAGAGATCCATTGGGAGAAAAAGGATGTCTTTGACAATGATTCGGTGGATATGCCAGTAGTCGAGGAATTTACTAATGATGAGGACGCCTCTTCCACCAATGGTATGTCAGGACACAAGGGAATACCCGTCGTCGGGTGCATCGCACGGGTAACGGTAGTTGACATCACGGGCATACATTATCTCATAATCTGTTTCTGCCAATGCACCGATGCTCCCGATGCAGAGAAACAGTTGTTTCAAATGGGTTTGTTCCCAGCCTCTTTCACCTGGCCTAGGACCACATTCACATTTGCCTTGCTGAACGATTTTGCGCCCCCTGGGATCAATGTTGTGCTGCCAACAGAATACAATGAAAGGAAGCCAAGATGGCTGTACAGCTGCTCATTGGTCATGGATGGAAATTTCAAAGCTGAGCATCTCCACCTGACAAATCCGGACTATGAAGTTTGGCTCATAGACGGCCTTAGGTTCTTGGTTGGTAGAAGACGGTACAAGGCTCACTAGGCTGTAGCAACGGATTCAATGCAAAGGTCCGAGTGCAACAACCACAGGGCGGTGAATCAGGCCAATGCATCTCGGCACAAACTGGAAGCTACAAGCATCGGTGGATGTGTGTGTACCAGACACAGATGCTTTGTCCCTCATTCCATGGTATATTTTCAAAAGGGTGAGAGGTGAGACCTCCTGAGAATGACTTTGTTCACAATGGCTGACCTTCGGGACGAGGCAAATGAACATGGACTACGTGCTTTGCAATGCTCTCGGGTACAACACTGAAGGATTGGAAACTGCTTTGACATTTTATGACATGAATTGCCAGTACAACAAATATCTATTGCATGGGGTCAAGGAGAGCCCATATCTGGCAATCCCATTTGGAATGGAGATCATCCCGGGAATAGGTCTTTGGCATGTGCATGGTCACCAGGACCAGTGCTATGTGAGATATGCATCGAATTTTATCATGGGAGCGGCAAGAATCGATGGGGAGATCATGGAGACGCTGTGGGCACCTCTCAATATCATATCTCCTTCCTGCCGAGGTATGTCCACTCCTCATCGGCAGCAGTGTCTTGACTACCAGATGAACGACTGCAATTTCATGAAGATGATCAGAATGAGTAAGACATGTGATGGCCACAGATAGCCCTGCTGATCATACTGCAGGCATATTCCTTTGTCGGAAATACAAAGAAGCCAAGCAAGGTGCTGCCGAGAGCAGCGAAGCCTTCGACAAATTGAATGAGACTGCAGATCCTGACATGGTGACAGAATGGCATGAGCAAGAAACAGCTGCTAATGCATCTCAGGCGGAAGACCTGTTGTCCATGGATATATATGAGGTTCGGTTGGAAAAAGGTATGTATCGCGGCAGGCGTGGTTAGCTGCGCAACAATCAGTTGACCCGATCGTAGTGCCGAGTTGGAACCAAGTGAAGCTCGATATCCTCCAATCTCAAGGGCATCGACCTGAAGCTCCTCACAGGCTTGGCACTGCCACCTGGATAGCATCCGGCATCACCATTGAGGAGTCACAGGTAGCTTTGGCCATGGACATATGAAAGCTCGGCAGACATCCTACCAAGACTCAGGAACTGTCTATCGCCCGTCGCAGGGTCGCTTTGCAACACACCATCGACGAATTCAACCTGGCTGCTGAATGATATCTCGGTCAAGGTTTTGACACAGATGAAGATGTGCCAGACATGAATCTAGCATTCGTCGACAATGATACAGATGCTCCTGAATATGATTGGCAGGAACTTGACATAGAGCCCTTGGAATATCGTCCCACGGCAGTCTTTCGCCCCAAGATTACCGTCATTCCCCTTCCATCAAACATCAGCTTGGCATGGTGCAATGAACTGTCGGTGACAGACCTCGTTGCACAGGAGATTACCCTGAGAGAAGGACAGGCCAATGATCTTTTGCACCTACTCTGGGTTCATCTCGCAGATAAAGCTGTTCTCTTTCGCACCACAGTCCATCCAGCCAAATTGCAGGCCCAGTCAACCAGGGCCTGGGCGCAAGTGCATTCAGTAGAGCAGGTGATCAGGCTCAACAGCCACATATATACCAAATGTCGGTAGCAGCTAGTCAAATTAGAGGCCTTCGGACTGTTGGAGAAATACTGGCAGTTGGATAAGAAAGACTTGAAGACCAGTGTGGCAGTAGCGGACCCTAATTCTCGGGGGCAAAGAAACTCTACTCTCCTGTGGTTTTGGTCATTCAAGGTGCAGGCTGATTCCACCAGCAGCGATTGGATGACCGAATGCAAGTTTTTTATATATATGTGATATCCTCCTTAATGTGGCAATAGTTTATAGGGTGCATTGGCTCCGCACAAAATTGTTGCACGACCATTGGGTCGAGGAGTTATTGTTAGTGGAGCATGAAATGCGATGGACCATTGATTTTTTCATATTCAAAAGCCAAGCATGGTTGGCCAGAGCTGAAGCACATGCAGGCAACAGAGATCAGGATGGGCATAGATGCTATGCAGTTAGACAGGCGCAGGTGTATTGGGCGCTGGCTGATGCGGCCGATACCAGCTTCTCGAAAGTCAACCTGGAATTCAAATGGAATTATTGAGAATTACACTCCTGCATTGGGAGGAACATTTGAAGTAATTACTGCAAGATTGCTTCTAATACATACTTATATCTGGCAGGTCATATCGGATGATAAGAGCAGGCATCGATTCTATATATGTAGTTAACTCCGGATGGTATGTATGCACGAGGCAACTCTCCGCTTGGTAGTTCTCGGGTAAACAATATATCATTCGGGTGATCCCGAATGGACTTGTCAGATACTTTGCAGTGTTTATGAGGTAATTGCATCCAGTCCATGCGACAAGAACAATGTCAGACTTTCATTCTCCACATGTCAATGTGGCACAATAGCCATGTTTAAAAAATAAGGTTTGCTGTGGCCTTTTCCAGCTCCGTCTATTTATATGCCGCACTCCCTCCTTACTGTTATACACAAACACTATCCCCACAATATCATTCAGTCTTCAACATGTCGAACTACCTGTACACATTGGAGGACTCCACATTGTCACTCTGGGATTCCGCCAACATCTTAGAGTATGCCACCTCCCAATTTACCAGCATTTGGCTCTCTCTCCAGTGAAGTCATGTGACCCGGACCGATGCTTACCATGAGCAGTTTGTGTGTCATCTGGTATGGGAAGCTGAGGTGTGTTTGTATATTTTAGTCCCAAGATTTCAGCTCCCGAGATGTTTCACAGCAGTTTGTGTTCCCATTCATCAACATATGCGCGGCCAGTCATATCAGTCCCTCGATGCTGATGTATCTGTGCGATGTCGTCCAGATCTTGGCAGGTTGGCAGATCGGAGCCCTGGACGACAACAAACTCTACGATGCATTCGAGAACTTCAACTGTATGGTGGACAGAGACATCTCGGCCCGCTGCCGAATTGTCAACCAATATGCTTATTGCTAGTGGAAGGATCATTTCGACCTAGGTCCTTTTGAGATGCCGAACCGCATCCCCCTCCTTGAGGTCAAGGAGTTGGTTGAGGAGCATTTCGAACAGCTGGTGACTACTTCTCTTCAAATTCAACAGGATTTCTCTGATCTTCATGTACGCCCAGCATGTGGGTCATCTCCTGATCCCAGAGCTGCCCCAGATGCCCACCAGCCATGATCCCTTACTGCAACAAGTCCGCTGCATCAGGGAAAACATGCAACAGCTGGGAGAAGGTTTGCAGAGCATGCTGCTCACAAAGGTAGAGGAAGGAGATCTTGCCGTGGATGCTTTGACCCGGCTGGAAGGACTGGTGGATGAGGTAATGGATATCATGCAAGCATCACATGAATTAATAGACACGCTCGGCATCAAACAGGAGTAGAGCCCGGATTCATACCTCTCAGTCCATATCTGTACATAGATTCATTTCTCCAATTTGTATATGTTGGTACCGATTATAATCAAAATGCGCTGGTGAAATACCTCAGTAGGAACCGAAAGCAATGATAACATGTATTAATTATGAAATTTTAAACTATTGTGCCTGTATTTAAGCGGTTGCATGTGCTTCTCTCCAGTTCGCTTACATCCACTGCAGGGAATAGTCCATGCACCTCAATTATGTCCCGGATGTGCTTGCTGCACAAGGCTCGGCAAGGCAAATGGTGCAATAAATGAGGGCTGGTTGATGGATGTCCTTTGATCTCATTCCCATCATGTCTGATATCCCCCCAGAGTGGTCCTCCTACTGGGATCATGTGTTCCACCGGTTGAATAAATTCCATCCTCTTCCTGAGATCCCAGCAGACTGGGCCTTGCACACCATTAATTTGGTGAGCGAGTGGGTGGAGCAGCAGTATATGGCCCATCTTGCTGGTAGACCTCTCATTCCCCCACCTCCTGAGCTTGATGTTCCCACCATCCTTGCATGCGGCCAGCTCACATTTCTCCTGGCTAAGGCCTACCGGAATCCAAGTCAGTCCCTTCACTATGATGTTGATCCTTCCTGACCTTTGGGATCAAGTCCAACTGGATATCGACATGGTTCGTTACAATGAAGCTCTCACCAAATGGGAAACAGGTATGAATGAAGCGCACAAAGAGTCGCTCTTGGCTAGATTCCCTCCTGCCAAGAAAATGCTCTTGACCTGTCCTTCGGTTGTACTGGATTCTGGCTACAGGATCATTATCTGGTACATCCCGGAGGCACTGAATGGCTACATCCAGGTCAGTACATTATTGAATTCTATGCTGATGTCAACAGAGTGATATGTACACAGCCACTCTTGGAATGAGTCACCACCTGAGAAAGAGTGTCACCCATGGAGCCGGTCAGTGGAGAACCAATGGTGCCAACTTCCATGCCACCAATGGCACTGGTGTTACCCCTGGGTGCATCAATATAGCTCCGTGCTGGTTCCAACAAGGCCGAGAGGTAAGAGGCTGTTTTTCTATCAGCTACCAACTTATCTGACATTCAATAGTGCCAGGGTACACCTCCCAAGAATATTTGGGACGGGTTCATGCCAGAGGTCTCGGCTACCCTGAAGGGTGGAAGGGGCATGTCGATGATTTTGCAAATGCAGAGACCTGGACTGTTGGCTTCCGCTGCCATGCGTGTCATGCACCTGCAGCAATACTGGGTGTCCATCCAAACTCACATCAAACTTGGTCATTGGGCCACTTCTCATGGGTTTGAAGACATGTACCAAAACCTCAAGCATTGGGCATCCATCTACACCGGAGTTGCAGTCATGTGCACCAGATTGTCTCCGTACCACCAAGACCTGAAATATCCACCTGAAGGATTCAATATCCTGACTAGCATTGGGAGTTACAGGCAAGCCATGATGCATTTGATCAACCTCGGAATCAACATAGCATATGATCCCGGTGTTATGGTGGGCTACTTGGGACGACTCGTTAGACACAGGGTTCAGGTGGATGAGGGTGACAGGATTGTTTGGGCCTGGTTTGTCTGTGATAGCGTCCACAACTACACCCGAACACCACACCCAGAATATGCCAAGTACAGCCCACTTGACCTCGCCATGTATGAGCATGTTAAGTACAATCAGGCTGACTTCGTTAGGTATGGCACCCTTGGACTGACATGTCCGGCCTGACCGATCATAGCAGACGCCTCTTCCCCCTTTCTTACATTACACCCCCAGTATTTTATCAATACACTATCTCTACCTTGATCATTTGCTTGCCGCTTACATCTTAAAGACATTTCACACCCGTCCCTCCTTTTTTACATCACAACACACCTTATTCATTCATTTACATGTCATTCCTTGCCATGCACTCATTAATACCATTTCATGTGTAGTTCTGCTACCAGTGTTTCCAGTTCGGATGCAGGACTTGTTGAAGAACTTCTTCGGTTTTGTAACTGCAGATGCCCTTCAACAGGCCCTGCATAGCTGGCTGCACTGCGATCTTGGTAGTACGTATGTGTACGGTTTGATAGTTTTTATCCAAATTTGACCATGGGCTATGACACAACCTCAGTGGTATCAGCATCCGGGACAATGTATCCCGGTCGATGTAATGAAGGTTATTTGTACATGTAGATGAGCTCCAGGTAGCTGTTGAGTACACTGAATGCATTCTTCTGTATTGGCTGATTATGTATCTCGGTAGGAAACAATCCTGGGTCTACATGCGTTTAGATGGCATGGGTCAGGTTGTGCATACATTCCGGAGGAAAGACATTCTAATCTCTTGGATCACAGTGGTATTATTGTGCGGACCCGACAGTCTAACTCAGCAGCACCGGCAGTTGGCCCCATCCCTATATCTCGGCCCTACTATTAATTAATATAGGTTGTACAGTTGTATGGGCCCAGTTGTTCACCTCAGCAGCACATTTGTTTGGGCCCATCCCTATATACCGGCTTGTTATATCAGCCCTACTATTAATTACTATAGGTTGCATGGGCCCAGTCGTTCACCTCGGCAGCAAATCTGTCTGGGCCCATCCATATATATCGCTTACTCATATCGGCCCTGCATATCCATATAGGTGGTGCTATTGTATGAGCCCATCCATACATTTTGGAAGCACAGGCACCTGGGCCCATCCCTACATCTCGCCCACTCATATTGGCACTACTAATATTGGCCCTGCCATCAGTATGGTATTCTATTGTATGGGCTCAACCATCCATATCGGTAGCACAATACTTATATCACATACTGGGCCCACCCTGAATTATGAACCACTAGACCATACCTTGGGCCCACCCCTCTCCATCAGTACACCTTCATTTGGGCCCACCTCGGGTGACCCGTCTCATTGGGCTGATTATCAACTTCGGTTTCAGTTTGAAGGTTCGAGTTGAACTCACCTTGACAGCAACACCTACAGTATTCTTTGGCCGTCTTATTCGCATCCCTCCTTACTCACCTTAAACCATGATTCCTATATGAGTGTTTGCCCTGAAATTGAAATTTCTGTCATAAAGCAACCTCCTGTACCCTTTGTATCATGATCACATCTACTGCTCAGGAAGCCTTCATGGAAGTCCAGTGTGACAATCACAATTGTAAGTAAGCTCAGCGAGCTCTGCATTGTTTTTTTTGGCCAAAACTGGTCAACATCATGATGATTACATTGCATCACTTATAAGAATTCTGATAATCTATTGTTGACGTGCAATTACCAATAGTAATAGAGCCTAGATCTGCCCCATCAATTGATAGTTTCACTAATGACCAATTTCAAAACTATGTGACTGCAGAGGATTCGAATGACAGTGTCAGGTCGGATGGTACCAGGACCTCGAGCCCTGTTGGATCCAACAGGCTCGGTAGTGCTCCAGAAAGCATAGCAGCAAGCACTAGTAAGTTCTTCGATTGATATCCAACTTCTGTCAATTAACTACTGTTCAGAAGATGAGATGATTACAGAAGCGATTACTTCCTTGAAGGCAACATTAGCTGGCAAGATGGATGAAAATATGTCATTTTTAGCGGCAATATCAGCAATGAACACTCTTTTTGTAGACTGGATGACCATCTTGGGTAGGATTAAGGATATTTTGCAGGGTATATGGCATGCATAGTACTATTATATCTGCATGTCCCAATAATGTACGTTAAGGTACACTCAATGTATTCAATTTTTTGGCAGGGGTGAGAATATATCTACCTGAACACCTTACCCTTGTTGAAGCTCGCATCCATGAACTTACCAACATGATCCAAGTGCTGAAGGAGAAACGGAACAGCCTCATCCCTCTAGTCAAGCTGCCAGTAGAACTCAGCCTTATGATTCTGTCCTTACTTGTTGCAGGGGATGAGCCAGATGTCCAAAGTCTTGTACTTTGCAGTCAAGTGTGCCATCAGATGCAACAAATATGAACCCTGAAGATTCACAATTGCCCAACTGCACTACAAATCTCAGCCTCGTAGCTTCCTCTCTTCATCAAATCAGCAACTTCCATCTTCATGCATCACCATCTGCTGTATCTGCAGTACTTTCTTGATTTTCTCAACGCACCCCCATGCTGGAGACTCTGTACTTGGGAGTATTGTGCATGATGGGCGACATATATCACATCCTGCAACTACCTGACACCCTTATGATACTTGATGCACCTTTTCTACGGAAAGTCTGCTTATATGGATGCCCATTTTCGTGGGACAGATTCAATTTCACGAACCTGGTGGAATAACACATTGTTGACTTCCCTGACAAAGCCAAACCATCTCTTACAACTGTCCTTATGGTCTTGTCGAACCTCTGCTCCCTTCAAACACTTGTTATGAGAGAAGTCTTGTTGAAACTCAGCAGCACTCCTGAACAACATGCTAATCCAGTGCGGTTGTCATGCCTCCAATTTTTATGCATTCACTGCCCCGCCATGGATTGCGCAATCTTTCTCAACATTATTGCAACAGAGGAACTCAGGGTCTTGGACCTTGTTTGCCAGGATACCGGTCAAAATCTAACGGCAGCAGAGATGATAAAATTTCACTTGGCCCTCCAGGCGAAGACAAGGGCTATGGATGTGTGCGCCACATCCTTGCACTGCGACTTTGACAATGTCCATCTTATTGGATCGACTTTCACAGAGGCCAATTGTGAGGACTTGCAGGCCCTTATCATGATTGGTTTCCCTTTCGCTCAGATTCAATCTGGAAATGACACATTACGCAGACTCGTTGCCTTTACTAAAGGCATCAATTCTGCTTGAGTACAGTGCCTACAGTTACATGTGGATCCGGTATATCAAGCTGATATTGACGATGCATCCTGGCGTACTATATTGTCTCCATTTTCCTTGGCCAATCACCTTCACCTCAGCCAGCCTCTACGGTTGAGTATCCTATCATGCTTGGTCAATGATGCTTGACGAGCTCTCAGGTTGGCTGTCATTGACCCAATGCAGTCATGCATCCTCTTGCCACTTCTCAATCTACTAGATGTTTCACCTGAAGTTGAAGGGGTGGAGTTAGAATTGGTACAACAGCTCTTACACGAGTTTAGCACAATGAGAGGCACATACATAATGGCAACGGGAGAATTGTCTTGACTTGAGTGTAGGTGTAGGGTCGATATCAATATTCACGGCATGGGTTGATGGTCGTAGGGTATGCAAGTGAGGCATAAAAAACTGTCCGCAAAATGTAACAGTATGTGCACATATCAGTCAATCACCAGTGGGATAAATTGCCAGCGCACCAGATGCTGATCCATCGTTCCCAGAGGAAGACATGTTAGCACCATTTGTTGACATGATCCTTCCTGTTCAGCATTCTTCTTGTCCAGCATTCTTCTTCAATCCCAGCCACCCTCACAGTCTCCACAACATCTTGTGTGCCACTACAATAGCTTTCAAGGATTCCTGATTCCACGAGTGTCCCTCCGTCCAAGAAAGTGATTATGCAAGCAGCATATAGACCCTGCCTCATTGGCACACCTCCGCCAGTTCTTGTCATTCACCTGAAAATGCTTCCAGCAACCATCAAGTCAGGACATGTTCATGGTTGGAGCAAACGTCCGAGTGCAGCCAGTTTTTTATCATGTTCGCTTGCCGGAAGCACAAGGACAATATCTGTTTTGTTTATACAGAATATATTAAACTTTGTTTGTGGACAAGACTTACCGGTTTCATCAAACTGTTGACGTGAGCTGGTTCCCGAGATCACCTGGAATTGCAAACCTCTTGATGGCACAACTTTCTTTGTCCACTCCATCTTGTCATATTTGTGTGTAAGAATGGGGAAGGAAGAGAGGGACACTTTGCCTCAATAAACCTGACGTGAGTTTAATCATCTTTAATGAGATTATCCACTCATGGTGTAGAGCATTGAAGTTAAACATGCTGTTGATGAGTCAGCAGTGATTGATGTTTGTGCATGTGACGCGGCATACATCTGCTCCTTGTTGTCACTCGCCTTTTTTAACATTCTCAGTGTGTATCTCATAATCTGTAGTTAGCTCATTGACTTATCTGATCAGAGTCCATTGTAGACATTGGTCACGTTGATTCTGGTAAATCTACCACCACCGGTCACTTGAAGTTGACCTGTGTGGTGGTATCAACAGTCGTATCATCAAAAAGTTTGGGAAGGGAGCTGCTGAGCTTGGCAAGGGTTTCAGATATGGTGAGTGACTGGATAATCTACGCTTGTGCCTACCAGTGTCTGACTCTGCACAAGTCTATACATGGTAAGCATCTGCAAATGCAGAGCTTCCTCCACAATCACCATTGACTCTGGGACACGGTGTTTAGCACTCCAAGGAAGGACTCGAAGAAGGCTTCATACCATTGGCAAGGGTGAGTCCAAATTTCTCAAACTTCAATGGAATGCACCATGAACAGCTAACTTCTTCAGGGTTCTCGGAGACAATGCCAGTTTCAACATCAAGTCTGCATTTCTCATTTGTTTCCCTGATATGTATAAGCTATTCTCATCATTGACGGTGGTACTGGTGAGTTTGAGGCTGGTATCTCCAAGGTCAGTCAGACCCGTCAGCATGACCTCTTGACATTCACCCTCAGCGTCCATCAGCTCATTGTTGCTGTCCACAAGATGGACATGACTAAGGCAAGGTGTGACAATACTTCTAAGGCGATATAGTATTATGGTTGGGCACATTCATAAATTTGCTGGTTTGATACATTCCTGTAGCTACCAAATATATGCTACAGATCTAAATGATATCATCCTCTTCATTGTCTTCTGTGTTAGCACTATGTAAATAAGACATATCAATGTTATCTGGTTGTGCAGAACAGAACAAAACAAGTTATTTGTGCATGTTCTGAGGAGGAACATGCTGCACACATTTTATTTTTTGTCCACAGAACATAGTAAATGTTAATTGAATGTTGCTCAGGGGAAAGATCCTGGAATTATCATTTATTTATTTTTACAGAACATAAAAAATGTTTCACAAATGTCCTATTAACAAATATACAAAGGAACTTTTGGAACTTTCTTCATTTTTCTGAGACAAAACATTGGTTAAATGGATTATATGATCTATTATATTTTTTATTAATGTTCTTGGATCAAGCATGGAGTGAACTGGATGAAATAATTTTGACTTTTGACACACAAAACATTTGAAAAACACAAACAAAAAAAATTAACATGATTTTAAGATGTTATTTGAAAGATGATGAATGAAAAATGTAATGTCTTTCTTGAAGGAACATGACTAATTTTTGGATCATGTCCCACATACAGAAAATCTTTGATACATTCATTACATTTTTTCAATGTTTTGATGGGTAAAATATAAGGAAATTTCTATCTTCTAATTTAAATTTTTTTGGATGTTTGGTGAAGGAAAATGAGTCAATGCCTGCAGTGAGAACAATTTATCAGATGTTCAGCTCATTAAGTATGCTCTCAGGTATAACTGGTCCACCCATAAATCACTATGGGCAGGCTTCCCTGAAGCTAAAGGTACATCTTGGGAAGATTTTGCTAATGAAGTCTTGTCATGCTATCCAGAACAGAACGTACCCAAGTATATTCAGCCCAACATTCCCACGCTCAAAGTGCCCGCCCTGCGCAAACCTTCAGTAATAGAATGCAGCCCAGAATACACTGAAGTGCCAGCTATTGCACCTCAGCACAAAAAATGTGACCCTATTCTTATCCCAGTCATCCCCAAAGTGTCCCTTGACGAAATTGCCTCTGTACCAGCCCAAATTGAAGCGCCCATGTTATGTACACCTAGAGAACCATTATGCAAACCAGGAAAATTAGGTGCACTAGTATGTGAAACTACTGCACCAAAACACGAAGCTATTCTTTGCCCAGTCATCCCAGAAGCATTTCTTGATGAAATTGCCTCTGTACCGCCCCAAATAAAAGTGCACGCATTACACACACCTACAGGACCTCCATGTGAACCAGAATATTCAGAAGCAAAGGCTATCGCACCACAATACGAAAACACGAAGATCATTTAGTTATAGCCCTCCCAGAACTGAATATTTGAACAAACTGAAGTGACTATCAGTTCCCATCACAATCACATTCTTCCTGGAAGCCCTGCTTGACTCCAGTTCTAGATGACCTCCTATTAGTCTACAAGATAGCGGTGTAGAAACAACAATTCAGCAAGGCGTGAACGAGGCTCCTGACTGTATCTATAAATGTTGTAAGGTCATGTGTTGCCTAGTCTGCTATACTTGTGACAACAAGTGCGTTCGACCCTAAAGGGGAAGTGAGTGCAGCAAAGATCTAGAAGTATGTGCTAAAGCGAAGCGTGAGAAAGCGCAGGTGCGCGCGCATGATGTGTGAAGTGCGGGAAAGTGCGTGCAGGTATGCGGAAATGAGAGAGACTAAGCTTAAGTGATGATATAATGTAAGATAAGAGATGTGAGATGCAATGTGCCAAAGAATAGATTTCTACTGCAACTTTCTAGGTAGTAAGTGGTAGGTAAAGTCAGAGGTGAAGTAAGGTAAGGTGGTGGAAAGTTGGTGTAGGTGAGAAGTAGGTAATAGTATCTACTGCTGGCGCTTATACAGTGACTCAAAAAGGAAATGCACAGCATCGACATTTCTCCTATTCCTCCTCGTACTCGAGCAATAGACCATTTTGTGTCGTTCCACTTGTTGCAGTGTAGTGTACTAGGTCTATATTTTCAATACCATATGCTTTTATTGTGATACTTGGCTTTCTGAGAGAGCTGTCCAGATATTTGTGAAGAGAATGCTGTGCATTTCATTTTTAGGTTTAGTGTGACTTTACAGAAAATGTGTTTGTCGGCTCATTGCCGCACAACGTCACACTTGCACCACTTGCAGACTCATTCTACACCCTTGCTGTCACTAGTCATCCATGACAAAATACACAACTCCTACAAAGAAAGCTCGAATTTGCCGAGACAAAGCTGCTGGCATGTCTGATGGAGACCTCGCTGAAAAGTTTCAACTCCACCGCACTACAATTGGCCGCATCGTGAAACGCTTTGCTAAAAGTGAAGCTTACTATGATGTCAAGCCTAAATCAGGTCGTCGTCGCAAATTCACGACCAATGATGCTCGCTTCGCAGTCCGGGCACTGGCACGCACTCATGCACATGATGTTGCCGACCTGCAAAAGAAGTATTTCCCCGATATCAATGCTCAAACCATCCGAACGAGACTTCGGGCATGTGGCCTCAATGCCTACGTACGCCGTACAAAGCCTCTTTTGACAGAAGCTCACAAACAGAAGCGGTTAGCATGGGCGAAAGCTCATGCTGATTGGTCAGCAGAAGACTGGATGTCAGTTGTCTTCTCAGACGAGTCTAAATTCAATTTATTTGGCTCCGACGGCCGTTCGTGGTGTTGGAGGAAGCCTGGGGAAGAGTTTGATGAGCGCTACACAAAGAAGGTTGTGAAGCATGGTGGTGGAAATGTCATCGTTTGGGGGTGTCTAACTGCAGAGGGATTGGGCCGCATTACCCGCATCGAGGGCAACATGGATGCCAAGTTATATGTCGAAATCCTCAATGATGACTTGCTGGGGACCTTCCGCGACCTGGACATCAACAAAAAGAACGTCTATTTTCAGCAAGACAACGATCTGAAGCATACTTCGAAATTGGCGGGAGAATGGTTCCGGAAGAAGAAGATTGATAAGCTGGATTGGCCTGCACAGAGCCCGGATATGAGCATCATCGAGAACATTTGGGACTATTTGAATCGTCGAGTGCGCACTCGGACCCCTTTACCACGCAATCTCACAGAGCTATGGGCCGCTTTAGTGGAGGAATGGGGTAACATCGAGACGGACTACATCAAGAACTTGTATGAAAGCATGCCACGTCGTGTTGAGGCTCTTCTCAATGCTAAAGGGGGTCATACCAAATATTAGAAAGGTTTGTTGCATTATCTTTTGATTTGATCTCTGTATGCTCAATGTTTTCGCAGTGCTGCAACTGTCAAAAATGAATTGCACAGAGGTTTTCACATCAATTGCTTTACTACATTTCAGATGATACATTACACTACATTTCCTTTCCTACTCTAGTACATACGGACTTCTAGCTTTCTCTAGAGCCTACTATCGTGACATGAACTGCGCAGGAGGAGGAGGGAGACGACAATTCGTCAAATTAGTCATGCTGTGCATTTCCTTTTTGAGTCACTGTATATGCCTAAGCGCTGTCATGCGGAGCTGAAGCGCTACCAAGTAGGTATGTAAAGATATATGTAAGTAAGGGTCCATGATAAAAATAAAGGTGGAACAATATGCTAATAAGAGAAATAGAAATATACGCACTAGAGGGCTTGGTGGACAGTGGATGGATGCTTCTGGATGGCTGGTACTATAGGGCACTCAAGCGTGGGAAAGCACGCGCACATATACATCGCGAAGTGTGGGAAGTGTGCGTGCATGGTGCGCATTGCGCAGGAAAGCTGCACCTCATATAGAGATAGCTGCGGATAGTGCACAGAGTGACACTACAAATTTGTGCTATGTACTCCCTAGTGAAAACTGCCATATCAGACCATAAGAGGCACGAGTCTCTACAGCAGTTGAAGCTGATAGCTGGAATCTGAATGTCAATGCATTGACACATGATGACTCAGATGGGCAAGGGCTTTTCACTGACCTTGAGCTGGAGGTTGTTGTGGTGACAACACAATTTGATCCTTCTTTATCAGAGAACAGAAGGTTTTCTGCCAAGCATGATGGGGCACTCAATGAGATCTGGACTAAGAAAGAGAGGGAATTGGCAGAGATGGGGGCAGAAGTTAATGACCTGTTAGTACTGCAAAACAAGGTATGAGAATTCCAATGCAGATAGTGTCTGGTGTGACTGAAGATGATGAAGCTTAATATGTTCTATCCTAGGAGGCATAAGCTGGGAGATTCATATGTTAGAATCTCAATGGATATAATACCAGGGTACATCCTCTGTTCTCTGTTCTGAAATGAGTTTTATGAAATGACTACAGAGCACTGAGAATGTGCAATGTGGACAGATCACTGATGGCTTTTATTTGCAATGCCATGCCAGACACCATAAGAGAGACTCTCTATGACAGGCTGAAAGTGTCCTTTGACAACCTGGACATCTTCCAAAGTTGGCTGCTCTCTTCCACCAACCAAAGAGACAATCAGTTTGAGACAGTACATTTCTTATAGTGGAATTATTATGGAGTATCAGTAAATATTCAACTCTCTAGGCATGCTAATAAGCTGACTTAGGGCTACAGAGCAAATCAGCTTTTAATGATGTTCATCCGCACTTCCTTGAGGCCCAAACTGCAAAGGGCTCCCAAAAATTCAACTTCACTCAGACACTCCCTTATCTCTCGCAAGAAACTATCAACCACCAACAACTTTACCTTAATATTCAGGCATCACTGGCTGATGTTTTTGAGTGGATTGAGACTATGTTAAGCCCCACTCACACATGCATGAAGATGAACAACTAATACATCATGTTAGTTTTAAGCTGGCTTGTCCAAAGAGTACAAGGCATTGGTAGAACTGGTGGAATTGCTACCAGGTGTTACAAGTAACATTGGTTACCTGGCTCCCCTATCAATTTCCCTTCATCCTCACCCTCACCTGCTATTGGCTTATCCTCCTTTACTGATTATCTATTGACTGGATCCTCAGGACCATTCCAGTCCCTCATCTCCCTCCTCTGGTACCAACGTGCACACGTGCCTTTGGGCTATGACTCATGCCACTAATGTGGCTTTTCTTATCTCACCTTATCTTGTCTTCTGCATCAGGTAATCTATCCGAAAATAACATAGCTTTATAAAGCTTTATCTTTTGTAAAATTTCACAAAATTTATATAATATCTATCATAATTGCACTCAGCCTGACAAAGCTTTAGATAGGCAGCCTACGTTGGAGAAAATCACCAAAGGCACAATTATGATATATATTGCCAATATCTGTCAACATTTGCCATCTTCTGCCATTCTTGACAAAGCTTTAGATAGGCAGGTTACACTAGAAAAAATCACCAAAGACACAATTATGATACATATTGCAAACATCTGTGATTCTTGACAAAGTCTTATATAATGTCAGACTACTTCACACAAAATTGCCAAGAAATTCTCAAAGTCTCAATTTTAATACTCATTTTATCACTTTATGAATCAAATCAAATTTTAATTGGGACTGGGGCATATATGTGTAGTACTAATACAGGAGAGAAGAGAGACATGGTAGAACATAAAATAGAGAGATAGAAACATGGCAATTACCTGCCTCAAGAGAGAAGAGAGGGACCACAAGAAAAGGCCAGGGAGGAGGAGGCCAGGGAGGAGGACCAGAGAGGAGGACCAAGGAGAAGAGGGCCAGGAAGGAGAAGGCCAGAGAGAAGGACCAGGAAGGAGAGGACCAGGGAGAAGGACCAAGGAGAAGAGGACTAGGAAGGAGGGCCAGGAAGGAGGACCAAAGAGAAGAATTAGGAAGGAGGAAGAACTGGGGAGGAGAAGAAAAGGATGTTGGCTTGAAGGGCCAGAAGAAGTGCACTTAGTGTGTAGATGAGATGAGATGAGATGAGAAAAGACAAGTTTCGAAGTTGAACATGAACCACAACTTACATAAGCATGGGTCATGTGACACAGCCAGTGCAATGTTATGCAAGCAGAGATCAATTGGTGGAGAGTTGTTGACACAATTATAAGATAAGATATATCTATATCACAATGATAGTTTTTTTGCAATTCTTGTTCATTTAATACCAAGTTGTCATGTCTATAATCAAGCTTTATTTATGCATATGATCTTATATAATTCAGTAGATTTTTGATTTTATTTCACAAACTAAATCTAGAAACAACAAGTTTGTGCTGATTTCCTGATACCCAAGATACATCAAGGTAACATTTCTTGCATAGTCATATCTTAGTTCATATATATGTGATATCATGATAATGATATCTAAGGCTAAAACATAACATGTAATAATGTTTGTTGATTACCAATTATATCTGGTCATATCAATTTCGGATTGATTTCCTGATGTGACTCATGCCTGCTGCGCATTATATCTTTACCATTGGTCCATTCCAATGTTTCTCAGTCTCATTCCACATTCAATCATCCACCACTAATCTGGTTCTGCTGCCAGCATACCTATACCATTCTCATCTCCCCTTTACCCTTACCTACAGTATGGTAGCCTTGCCCTTAACCCTTTCCACTTAGTATAAGTAGTTGGTCACCTTGTACTAGATTCCCTAACTTGAATCTACTTAATCTTCTCTGGAACATACTTCTCTCTGAAGCCTCTCAGCTTTAGTCTCTAGTATCTTTCTTAAGTGCTCTTTGTGCTTAAGTCTACCTTGATTGATGCTCATCATTTGGACAAGACTATTCTCACTTTGAGATTTCTATGACTTTAAAGACATTCGTCTTAGAAGTCATGTGACACGCGCTTCTGCAACTACTGCTGACAAGACATCACCAGTCTCACTCACTACATCGGATCCTTCTGGTTACGTCACAAATGTTAGTGGACGACACCCCTCTTAGGGCTCTGCATAACAGACCTATTTGAGTGTGTAACACCAGAGAAGCCAGATAGTCCAGTCGCTCCATTTGTCTCACTGGTAATCAACATTAATGTAGCCACACTTGGGCATTGAGACTCTAAAGATAAGTTGCTTTGTTTAGTATTGGCAGTAGGGCGCTTCACAAGGGGAGGACTAGTATTGAAAGAGCAGGGTCTTGTGGTGGAACTTGAGCATGGTGATTTCATCACATTTACTTCTGCTAATACCACTCACTTTAACTTAGAGTATGTGGGTGAGCATGCATCATTGGTTTTACATACAGATCAGGGTTTTGACAAGTGGAAGGATGAGCATAATGGTTGGGGGGATCACTCATTCTTCTACTGACCTAACCTTTGAATATCTTTAAAGCTTATTTCAATCATACCTTACAATATCTCATCCAAAGAAGCGAACATCAACCGACAAGCGAGCCTATTGAGACCCAAAAAGGTGATGCATTTAATGTTATTTAATATACAGCCCAGCTGAAATTCAGAGAACTTTGCACACATACTACTTTCAACAGTCAGCTCCAATGCCACCCAAAGGAAAAAGAGGCACTGCTAAGCCCAACTCTAAACCTAAGGCTGTTTCCAAGGCTCTTTGCTCTTATACATCTACTAAAAAGTTCTCAGCAGCAGATGCCAAGAACTTGACAGAACTGCACAAGGCCCAAAAAACTGTTCAAGCAGCAGAGGAGGCAGACAAGAAAAAAGGTAAAATTCACCTGTATAGTTGAGACAAGACTGACACTCTTCAGTCACTTGAAAATGATCAGCAGCTCTACTGGAGCAAGATGCACAAGCTGAAAGGGATGATGAAGCAGAGAGTCAGCAATATTCAAGACCCTTGAAGCACATCAGGAAATCTTGATTGGAATCTCCAGTGGAATCTTCTGAGGATGAGCCAGTCCTAGACATAGTAAAAAACCTATTAATCTTTAATGCAGAGGATGAGGAGGACAATAATGAAGTTCCTGGAGAAAAGCAAGGCTCACATTCGGAGTAAGATGTTGACAAGGAGGAAGGTTCTGATGATGAGGAGCTTAGTAGCAAGAAGGAGTATAGCAATCTCCTGAATGATGACAAGGTGAGAGTTACATATTTCATTGTTTATTTATTTATTCTCTGAGTTCTTGACATAGGTGATGGTAGAAGATGATAATGAGCTATCTAACTCTACAAGCTCCAAATTTAGCAGGTGCTCCAGCATAATCAAAGCCAAAGTGACCCTTGCCATGTTCAGCACACCACATTTAAGGAGAATCACTGGTATTGCCAATAGGACTATGAAACACCATGGAGCTTTGTCTGGTGGCTTTTCTACCAACCACCAGAAGGAATCCAAGACATGAGGTATCATTGTTGAGGCTTGTTAAGGCAACCAGCAGCTGACAGAGAAGCTAACACAACTAGATAACAACCTGGACATAAAGAACTTGCTGGTCAACTATGTAAGCATCTGGATATCCAAGTTGCCATGCTGATTGTTTGCTTTGATCACAGACATGGCAAGGGCAGAGTACATTAAGGACTGAACTTGTACTAAAGGCTAGGCAAGGTGCACCTATCTGATTTGGGCTCACTGAGCTGGAGAGTAGTGAGGAGATAATTAGCTTCTGCAAATGGCTTCTGAAGGACAACATATTTTTGCATGGTATCATCAACCTAAAGGTAAGTGCTAATAATTCATATACTAAGATATACACTTATTTGTATGTGCGTACTTGACAGCAGAGGACATTTGATAAAGCCAAGCCTTAGATGAACTAAGCCCTAGTACTATTGATCTGTGATTAGTTTTAGTTAGTCAAGGGAGACACTATCAAGATGGACAAATGCAACAACTTGTATCTGGAGTTTCCTAATGCTCTTCTAGCTCTTTGCACCAGTGCTGTGAGTTTCTCTTTTAAATGAGAGGCTATTGCTAATGCAAGGTCTCTTCTAGATTCAATGTGTACTCAGAGGTTTCTTATTAAATGGCAAGCTTAAAGGGATAGGATCTGTTGTCCCCTTCACTAATGAAAGTTACCACGACAAGTGCATTTTTCCTTTTCTTTGACTTTACTAAAGTTAAGTTGACATCCTATTTTGACAGGTTCTCTAGCTACATATCTTCGCTTTCTGAATTCCAACGTGATACACCCTCTTTCTACAAGCTGATAAAGATGGATATGAAGGATGCTCTCAAGTATATTTTGATTTATTTATTATTAGCTCTAGCTGATTCTTTTGGCAGAAAGGTCTCTCTAGATGCTTCCAGCATGCTTAAGAAAACCAGCACCATGAAAATTGACAAGAATGCAATTGAGGAGGCTGCAAAGAAGGCACTGGCAGAAAGGGAGGCAGCAGCATCTGGTAGTAAGGGAGAGGAAGAGTAGTGATATGAGCATTTTAATGGGTGTTTTAAGAGTACATTTAATGAGCATACAGTGGCTCAAAAAAGTGTCCCAATGTTTGTAGGTTTTCATGTAATTGTGTTATTGCGAGCCGGGGTGTGGGAATCTGACTAAGTCAAAGGGAGGTCTCAAAAAGCTCCGCTTCTCGGCTACAATTATGTTCCCTATAGCGTGAGAATAAATTGACACCGTGCGAAGATATGGCTATTTTAATTAGGTGACTCATTGGGACACTTTTTTGAGTTTCTATTAAAATATGAAAATCAGATCATTTAGACATGACACCATTTACAAATATATATATAAATGGTCCCATATTGACAATATGGTCTCATTTTAATATCCTGTACATATATAAACCCTTCCAATAACATCATGTCCCTTATAATCAGCATGAAGTCTATTTCCTCTTCTCAAAGAGATAATATCCTTTTTCTCTCCACCTCTGGTCTATTTATCAGGCAGATTGCCTCCAAAACTGGTCTGGGGAAGTCAACTATTGCCAGGGTTATCAACCAGAATATTCCCAACAAAGAAAATGTCAAAATGGGTCGTCCTTCTAAACTTACTCTGCATGACAAAAGAGCTCTTGTTCATCATATTATATCTGGAAAGGCCTCTACTGCTGTTCAAGCCACAAAATACATCAATTCCATCATCACTACCACTGTCTCCACTCAAACAGTCAGGAACACCCTCAAGGAAGCCAATCTTAAAGCTGTAGTCAAGAAGAAGAAACCCCTACTGTCACCAGCCCATAGGAAAAGGAGACTAGCATTTGCTTTAAAGCACCAGCACTGGACTATAGAGGACTGGAAGAGAGTTATTTGGTCAGATGAAACTAAAATCAATAGGATGGGGTCAGATCGTCAAGAGTATGTTTGGAAAAAGGCAGGAGATCCACTTGGAGAAAAAGAAGTGAAAGGTACTCTTAAGTTTGGAGGAGGAAATATGATGGTGTGGGGCTGCATGGGGTGGTATGGGGTGGGAATTCTATGTGAGGTGAAGGGGAGGATGAATGCAGAGCAGTATGTCTCCATTCTGGAGGAGTGTCTGCTCAAAAGCATGCAAGAATCAGGTATTGATGAAGAAGACATTATCTTCCAACAAGATAATGACCCCAAGCATACCTCAAAGTTGGCCACCAAATGGTTTGAGGACCATGATATTACTGTCCTATCATGGCCAGCACAGTCTCCAGACCTCAATCCCATTGAACATCTTTGGGAATTACTCAAGAGAATGCTTGCTGCCTATCAAGACCCACCTAATGGACTATTTCAGTTATGGGAGAGAGTTGTAGTAGAGTGGGGAAAGATTGCTAAGGAGGAGTGTCAGAAATTGATAGAAAGTATGCCTAGGAGGGTAGCAGCAGTCATTAAAGCTAAGGGAGGAAACACTAAGTACTAGAATTATAGAGATTATGTATAATTGATTTAAACTCAAAAAAGTGTCCCAATGAGTCACCTAATTAAAATAGCCATATCCATATCTTCGCACGGCGTCAATGGAGTCTCACGCTATAGGGGACATAATTGTAGCCGAGAAGCGGAGCTTTTTGGGACCTCCCTTTGACTTAGTCAGATTCTCACACCCTGGCTCGCAATAACACAATTACATGAAAACCTACAAACATTGGGACACTTTTTTGAGCTACTGTATTTGTCAAATTGATTGGCTTATCAAGTTTGTGTTTTTTTTATTTGATGATGATCTAAGTTGGCTATTGTAGCTGCTGATAGTTATTAGTAGCTATGATGAACAATTGATTTTTGTAACAATAACATATTTATTATAGCACTGTGCTGTCATAATAACTGCTGAAAGCTAGAGTTTTCCATAGTAAGATTTTTTGTAAAATGCTGCTGCTATTATAGTTACTATAGAAGGAACTTGTTCATAAATGGTATAGATGGTATTGCAGCTATTATAGCTCATAGTTGCTGCTAGAAGCTATAATAGCAACTGTGCATTTTCCTGATGTTGGAGCATGTCAGCAAATATGTTGTTCATCATAGATTGAAAGTGTCATATCCCGTATTCTGGACCTACATCTGACATTGTTCCCATGCCTCATCCAGACCTCCAGACCACTGTATCTCTATACATCAGACCTCCATACCTCTGCAGCTAGCCTACATCATTCGTTTCTTGTCCCATTGCCCTAATGTCATATGCTTCTCGTCCGGACATCTGATCCAGTCCAGTCTGGTCTGATCTGATGTATAGCTACACTTCCAATCCAATATATAATAAGCTCCTTAATTTATTTCCTGCTCATATAACATTAACACAGCTTATTCAGTATTCCTTGTTCCCAGTGTAGGGATTCATTTCTGGCTGGGCTTGTAAAGACTGTTTTTACCTTACTTTATGTTGGCACTTTGTAGCTTACATAAGCAAGTTATCTTTTCACCAGTTACCAGTATGAGTCTGAGAGATCAGCAAGTTTCTATCATATTTCCTCTCCTCTGAGCCTTGAGCCTAGTCCAGAAACCCTTTAGGGTCGAATAGCAGCTAGGTTCTGCAAGACCCAACATTGTTCAGACTCACCATCTGAATTGTTGTACCTTCACCGGTATCTGGGTTATACTTACTACTGGTGTAGGACTTAGAGTCCTTGTGGCCTTGTAAAGGCTATTTTTGCAGTGTCCCATAGGTCCTCGCATTGCATGCACTAATGCTAATATGGCACACATCCTTTCTGCTATCAGCCGATGGCTGTGGCTCATTGTCATATCCCGTATTCCGGACCTACATCCAATAATATTCCCACACTTCATCCGGACCTTTGGATGCCTTATCCATGTCTCCAGTCCTCTACCCATCCGGATCCCTGCACCTCTACACATCTACATCCACACATCCAGATTCAGATCCCTTTACCTCCATACATCAGACCTCCATACCTCCACAGCTATCCTGCTTCATTCATCCTTTGTCCTATCGCCCTAATGTCATATCTCATACATCCACGCATCTCATCTGGACCATATCTGATTCGGTCCGATCCGATATACGATAAGCTACTTAATTCATTTCCTGTGCATATAACGTTAACACAGCCTATCCGGTATTTCCTTGTTCCCGGTATCTCGGTTATACTTACTACTGGTATGCTTACTGATCCATTAACCTATGCTTCATTTCCAACTTGCGTTTGACAACTTTGCTTATGCTTCATACATAGCCTCGGACCTTTGCTTATTGATCTTTCCGATAGTCACTTAGTATATAAACTCTTGTACATGTCCTGTAGTTCCTCAGTCTGAATATCATATTAGTCCTCGCACTAGTCTTCACTCTAAGTCCTCATATCAGTTCTAGTCTTCCAACTTAGTTGTTATCCATCTCAGGCCTAGGGAGTTTCTCCCTAGGCCAGAGCTCTACTTATCCGATACTCCGCTCATCCGCTCATCCACTCATCCGATCCTCTGTAGTTTCCAGAAGTTCATCTGGATCTTTCCCGTGGTCCTCCGGACCTATTCTGCTTCGGACTTTGTCCTTACAGCCTTTCCTCTTTTTACTTCTACTCAGGACAAGTCCTGAGTAGCCATTATACATATTCATATCAGGATGAAACCTCATTGTAATTTCTGGAAGTTCCTCCGGAACTTTCCCACACTCATCCGGAAGTTACTTGCACCCATCCGGAAAGTCCTTCTGAAGTTTCCCGTGCCTTCGGATGTCCTTCAGACGTCTTCGGACTTTCTTCAGACACCAATCTGAAATTAAGGGCACATACTTGGGTAAGGGGCGCAGCGCACGAGCTGAAGCCAAGCCCCTCAGAATCAGTCCTACCCTTTGTGCATGGTCTTAACACTTATGTGCATGTATCGGATCACATTGGCTTTTCTTTGGCTCCGTCGTGCATCCTCCTCCTGTCCTATCCATGTCCTCCACTTGTCTATCAGTGCATATTTTACTTGATTTGGATTAGACTGACCATATTTCTAATGCTATATCATTTATATCTCTATTACTTTCGTCATGGACCCTTATTACCTACTACCGCTACCTACTTGGCTCCGAATAGTGCTTCGGCACACTCTCATATATACTTGTACTTACAAATTTTCATGTATCTTTCCTTCTCACATAAGAATCTATCATCCACTTGCACACATTAACATCTGAACTTGAAATCTAAACTTTGCATCAACTGCTGCGCATGTCTATCTAATGGCCATGTTATCCTTTCGATTCCTTGCTTCACTAGCCTTTGCGCTACTTACAAATTCGCTGTCTCACCACTTCTCCTTAACACTTTGTGGTGCCCGCATATCTATTCCACACAGCTGCGCATTACCACGTGTCAACATATCTTCGGCCGCTCAAACTCGCTTTGTGTCATGTCAATGGCGGCTCGCTCGCACTTGCATTGCATTGCACTAGTCCTCACGCTCCATCCATTCTCAACCTCCTTTATTAGTTTCAGTGATTTCCCTCCATTTTTATATAGAAGAATCATTCTCAGTAGCAATCCCCTTGGGCCAAATCATATACTTGTGTCCAGAGGTCTATTTGAGTTTTACCCCACTTCACCCTTTCTTCCCCTTTCACCTCTTCTCATCCAGCTATCATTCCTCACACACACTGGTATGCTTACTGATCCATTCACCTATGCTTCATTTCTGACTCATGTTTGATAACTTTGCTTATGTTTTGTACATAGCCTCAGACCGTTGCTTATTGATCTTTCTGATAGTCACTTAGTATATAAACTCTTGTATATGTCCTGTAGTTCCTCAGTCTGAATATCATATTAGTCCTCACACTAGATCTCACACAAAGTCCTCATATCAGTTCTAGTCCTTCAACTTAGTCAATATCCATCTCAGGCCTAGGGAGGAATTCCCTAGGCCAGAGTTCTGATCCTCCAATCCTCCACTCATCCACTCATCTGATCCTCCAAAGTTTCTGGAAGTCCATCCAGATCTTTCCTGTGGTCCTCCGGACCTATTCTGCTTCAGACTTTGTCC